TTTTTTGGGCCACTCGTGTATTTTCCGTTTTAAAATCCATGCCGTTGTTAATTCGATTTCAGCAATTTTATGGGTTACGTCATGGGGTGTCGGTATAAGGAAAAAACAATAATCACAAAAATTACTATCCAGGAACGTTACAGTCTCATTCAATCATCTTGGGAATAAGGGAATGGTGGATTAGAAATAGGTCTTTAATTTTTTCAAACAAACCGATGGTGTTGAAGCACCCGAAAGACTCAATGAGGCCTGAAGCGATTATCATGATCCCACACACCAAGTTCAATAAGTGTTTGAATGTTCTTCTTGACAAAAACTCAAGCTTTACCTAAATAAATAGAAAAGAAGAAGGATCCCCAACATCCGTGAAAATTGGCAAACAAGCACAAGCCACCCTTCATTAATTTTTGTGGTATGACTCCAGCTAACACTATAGCTGAGTGGGTGTTTTTGTTAGTAAGTGGTCCAAGTCTAATAACAAATCAGTTGTGGAGTTCCCTGATATCGCAGCAGAAATAGATGATATTATTTTTATGTCACTCTTAACAATGCTAACACACATTTTGTTCAAGCATTTATTAACTTGTCTATCTATGCCTGTCTGGCTAAGATAAATTGATACATAATTTTCAACTAGTTTCGTGGAAAACACAAGTTTTTGGCGCTAAGCTTCTCGTTGCTCATTTTTTGTATTTTCTCAAATTGGGAAAACTTTAAGTTTCGATGTATCCATTTTTGAGTCAACTGTACATTTAATGTGAACATTTAACTAGATTTGGTGAAACAGACAATGATATGAATACCCATTGGGAAATATCGAAATTAAATAACACCCTGTAAATGTATGTAAATTATGTATTGCAAATTAATAAATATATTTTATTGAAATTTTGGGATGGTCCACATTGTCAAACAAATTTTGATGAAATTTGAATGCATAAAAATGTAGAGGCTCGAGGTTACAAAAAAAATGTTTTTTTTTTAATCTAATTCGAGCATCGGGGTGGGGTTCAGACGCGCTCATTAAATTGTATGATGTCATTTCAATAACACCTTGTATAAACGATAAAATGTGCGGGAAAGTAACATGTGTCGAAGCAAACCATCAACGCCATTTGCGGCGTATATACGGTCAAGTGTAATTGGCGTCGATCAGCATTTCAATGGTGCATAATAGAAAAAGTGATTTTTAGTTCAAGCCTCGAATCGGCCTATATTCTCGTCTTGTTTCACATTCCGCGCATGTGTAAACACACAGTGATTTACCAGCGTCCCAAACTAATCAGAATCATAAAAAGAATAATTATAATGATAGTAATAATAATAATAATGAAAATAATAATAATAATAATAGTATTAATTTTATTAGTAATATTTATTGGTACAATAAATATATAGTGGGTATCACCAAAAAAAACATGTAAAACGAGGCAAGAAAATGGGGCAAGAGCACTACTGGAGCAGAATAATAACAGCGAAACGCTAGTTTACAGGACAAAACAGCTTGCAAACAGTATAAAGAAAAAATATGTAAAAAGAATAATAACAATAAAATCACAGCACTTTACGTCTCTATTGTCAAAAATATAGGATACAGGCATTTTGTAGGGTCTTCAAAGGCTGCTTTCGTCTCTCTGAAGCACCTTAGTAGACTGCATTGCAATATGGAATATTGGACAGTATTGAAAAATCGTCGAGTTTTAACTTAATTGCTGTATTTAACACATCTTTCAAAGGGTAGAGAATCCGAAGTAAAGCGGGAGCGTGATCTTCAAAGCGAAGATTACTGTCAAATAATATTTTTATTGAAATAAAACGTCGATAAACTTGTTATTATACAATTTTCAATAACGATCGATTTTTGAAATTTGACGAAATTCGTTTTTAAAAAAATCGTCATTTAATTTTATATACAGAGTGTTTAAAAAATACATGTGAATGTTTAACAAGGGAGATTGTTGAGGTTATTTTGAGATAAAAAGATCATTCACTGTATTAAGTTAGTTATGAAATGATTTATTTAGTCCAATGCCAAAATGAAATTGCTTCAAAAGATACGAATACCAGAGAATACTAACAGCTCATTATTTATGGAAAACTCATAACAATATTTAGGAAGCACTCTTATAGGTGTTCCTTAAACAACTTAAATGACATGTTTTGTTTCTCACTGCTCCACACCGTATAAACCGAGTATCACAGACGTGTTAGTAGGCAGCGGATGAGAATAGAAAATTGGTAAAATTACTATAATATACGTTCATGATTCATAAAGCTTGTTTTTGACTGTTAACGTTTTCACAAAGAAGATTGTAAGGACCAGAGGAATGAAAAGCAATAAATAGCAAGGGAAAAGTTGCTTGAAGGATTGCCGAATGGTCAAATAGGACAGCTTTCTAACGTTTAGGATTTTGTGCGGAAGGGGGTGCAGAATGAACCTCCAAAATTCAGCGCAAATCGCGAAGACACAAAAGGATAAAAAGATTGTAAAAAATCAGGTCGAAGACCTAATATAAGAAGAAGAGTAACATTGTCACCTTACGAAAACTTGATTACTGTATGCTTTTCATTAATCCGTGTCTCATGTAAATAATATACGTGTTTGGATGCTTGTTTGCTTCTTTTGTACTCTGAAAGTAGTCCGACAAATTATGTCGTCTCTGTTTATTAAAATAGATTTGTTCTTTTTTAACATTTAAAACCTTTAATAGCTTGCATAAAGTATTTCTATTGGTGGAAAAACAGAGCTTTCTGAAATTAAGTTAACCATTTTATTCAATGTGGAAAGTTTTTACTTTACCTGGTGGTCATGTTTCCAAGAAACTGTCTAGCTCAAATTTAGGTGATGCGTTTTCACCTTTAATGAACCAGTTCTAGAACGTTTAAATAGTCGTTCTAGATTTTCCATAACCAAAGAGTACTTGACAGATTTAATAAATAAATAAAATAAATAAATTAATAAAAATAAAATAAATAATTTATACCTGTATTTGTGTAATCGGGTCCTTAATTTTTGTTGTAACAACAATTATAAATGCAGATATTTCGATATTTTTGTAACGTTTATGCTCATTGGCTATTAGAATAGAGCATAACTAACGAGTTTGGGCAATTAAGTTTGCCGTTTCGTTTTCTGTCATCTTGGAACCAGTTTAGCTCTAAGCTTCGGCCAAAATATGGCGCGGAAACTCAAGGACCCCTTGACCAATCATCCTCTGACGTTCATTGCGTATAGTAATTTGTTTCCGCCACTCATGTGTTTTAATTATTACTTGCCCGACTTAATATCGCAATTTGCCGGGGTTTAATCGACAGTCGCAATCCCTCGCGTATGCGAGACTTTCCTGGAAGTTACCCAACGCGAAAGAAAAAACCGTCACTTCCGGTATACGAATTACATACATCGTTACATCCGAACGGTGATTTTCAGTTTCTTCTTTATTTTTACGTATGTAATATTGTTGATATCGTGTTTCAGTATCTACCTACTAATTAATTAGATTTAAAAAGACAGGTTATTTGTGTCAAAAAGCGTTCATTCGTGGCTTTTTCGAATTGACGCGTCTTTAAATTTAAAAAAAAATCTATCTCTTTAATGGTTAAATAAAAAAACATAATATTTTCTTGCTTAACTTAAAAAAAAAGTATATTATATATTATAGTATATAGTCGGTGGCAGACAACAGTAAACGAATGTGTTTGCTCGTACATTTATTTTTAATTTGAAGGAAACGAGAACTATTTATATGTAATAAAATCAAATTCAAAACTAAATAATTAACAGTTAATTTATTTATAATCGCGAAAATCTCCACACGATCGCGGTGCCTCTTGTCAGCTAGAGAATATTCGCCATTTTAAAAACCGCAAAGGTATCGAAAAAAAGTAGGCTTGGCTTAGCCCGTTCGATTCTCTGAATACGAAGAATCATAATTTGGGCGTCAAAAAATGTAAAGTAATGTAATATATTGACGGTGTAGTCTTAGGTAAAAAAAACTATCGGATCAATCACAAATATTCCCAAACTTGGTTAACTTGTCGAATCAGTTGGTTGTTAATTTATACCTTGTTTGGTATTTACCGTGCCGCAACACATTAATAAACAACTGTGTAATATCTTATTTAGGTCGAAAATCGAAACATTTACCGTTTTCATAAAGGTAAAATGATACGGGCTGCCGCAGCATGAAGTGCAGAAACGGTTAATTTAATTAAGTTTGGCGAAAAATTATTATAATATTAAGAAGAATCGAAAAAGCAGAAGGGGGAATTGTATTTAGAAATCGTAAAAATATTATTAACTGTGGTAAGATGTCGAAATTTCGACGATTGGGATACTCCGTTAAATTGGTCTTTCGATTTTGGAGGTTATAGTGTTAAAACCTAAGCTAGTAAAGCTAAATTTCTGGGCATGAAAATTAATAGCCAAGATGCTTGGTGCCAGCATATGTCCGCGCACAGATATTACCCTACGAATATATTACACTCGCCATGGCGCAAATGAGACTTATATTTCTTTCTAGTATAAGTTTATTCTCAAATTTTGATACAAAATTCCACTTCAATTTACTTGATTTTAACAAAAACGTAATGTTTGTTTCATGATTAGAACAGATGTAATCTAAAGTATTTTTATTCTCTCTTGAAAGATGCCATAATTTTATTTCAAGTAGTTACTGTCCTTCAACAGAAATTGTTTTCAAATATTTATTTTTCTTATTCGAAAATAGAATAATATCGCTTAAAAATTATAATATACTTTTTTCAGGTTTCAAGCGTTCTTTTCCAAATTTTTTTGGCAGTATGAATGTCTTCATATTTCAAGTGTTTTTTTAAGCTTCACTTGCATTTTTTTATTTTTGCGATGTCTTTTTCAAATTTCATGTGTTCTTTTCCAAAAAAATATTTAAAAAGAAGATTTTGCAATTTTTTTTCTATCTATCTTTTTCCAGATTTGAAGTTTCAAGAGTTTTTTTGAAAATTTTTCATTGTCGTTGCAGAGCCCAATCAGTACGTCCGACATTTCGTTAGACCAATCGCTGGCCGGCGGCGTGGACATGCGGACGAGCGTAGTGCGAGTCGCCGAGGACTACACCAAGAGGAAAAACGTCTTGAGGGTATCAGCCGTCAAGCCGTGCCGCTCGGAATTCCTGCTGCAGGCGGAGAGTACCGAAAATTTCGCCGACTGGGTCAAAACGTTGCAGGAACAGGTGGCCGTCAGTACCGAAGCGGAGCTGGTATGCGCTTTTTGATTTTTGATTTATAAGTTAGCAACGCACAAAATGCACATAAGTTAATTTTGCTTCACATGTTTGAGAAGGTACATCATCGCTCGGACCAGACTGGTCGGTACATTTGAACTAACTCCGTATGACATATAGTTCTATATATATCCATATACTTAACATCTCTGGAGGTATAGAGGTATATGGAGATATAGGGAAGCTATATGGGGGTATAGAAAGAAGTAGTTCAACCAAAATATCGAAACACAACTTCAACAACTGTGAGGATAGGTTAATACAAGAGAATACTAGTTGTAACTAGTATATTACTAAAATTTGGACAGAAATTGGATGGACTCAATTTATTAGAAAGAAATATATCGATAATTTGTGTTCATTTGCGTTTTATGCTAGGACAAAGGGGTGGGAAGTGTAATCAATTTTGTCGAAAATTTAACCTGTCGCTTACCTAAACGTACCTTAATGAGACAGAGTCTCTTCAATGTATTCAGTTTGGATTCAGGGTAGATTTCACTCGCCAAAAAAAAAACAGTTTACGTAATAATTATGTATTGTATGTTAAACAGCGAAAACAATTTTTGTCCTCCCTTGAAAGACCTTCTGGTTAGGTTTGTAGATATACCTTTGGGTGCCGAAACGAATTATTTCGAAGATCGCCGAATCTTATATTAAAGCGGCATCAGTTCTAAGAAACGCACGCCACTGACGACATTGCGATTTTTAGCAAACATGGCTAACTGACTAACCAAAACTATACATAGCAAACACACAAAATTAAATAACACCATATATTTTAGAGGAAAGTACCTCAAACAGGAAGTAGTTCTTTATGCAATAGTACATAAAAAGGTAAGATTACAAAAGTGCATCTCAAGCGATTTTAACTTAAAATTTAGAAAATTTCGATTTTCAATTTTTTTTTGCTCGAAAACAGAAATGAAGTACTAAATATGATAATTTCAATTTGTGGTAGTAGTTCAAAATTCAATCAATTCGTTTTGAATTGTATAATTTTTTTTTTAATTCTAAGTAAATGTGATTGTGATTTCAATTGAAAACTTGGTCACTTTGTAAAATAATTAGTATTATTTTTACCGAAAGCATTTAGCAAAATCTGGACACTTGGTCATATTATGCTGTGGATTATTTATTCTAGTAGAAAAAAACATCGGAATACGAAATACATCTAACATAGCGCAAGGTACTCTAATTATTTAATTGTTAATTTATAATCATTATCAATTCGCGCGTTGCAAACAGCGTTATCTCTCAGATATCGGTAACTTGTAAAGGACGCACATGTACGAAAAAAAATAAATTTTTGACAATTGAAATGCTGCTTATCTTAAATACTGATGGACACGTTCGTGCAAGATGCTTTCGCCTTCATTCTGGTAAGCGTCCTCGCCTGATTTGTTCTTCTTTAATCTGTTTGCAATGTTAACCGCGTGCTCGATTTTCTCTTATCTAATCAGATACCGGTGACATCAAAGAAAATTTGAAAAACGTATATAGAATATATGGGCGGTATCGGTTTTAACGTGTATTAAACGCAGCAGCGTACCATTTTTAACTTGAAAACTTTGCGCTACATACCGGGTGTCCCAGTAAGGGCGACGAGATATTAGGAAAACAGATGGTCTTGAAAATTCTGAAAAGAAGTTAAGTAAAACGGTCAAAAAAAAATGCTGGTATCTATTTTCGAATTTCTGAATTTTAAAACTCGGTAACGCTATTGTGGTTACTCATTTTGTCACCTAGTGAATTTTTCTTTCTAATGATTAGATAGTGACATAAAACCTCATATTCTTTTTTCAGAAAATTAAGTTGATTAAAATATGATTAAATGAATTTATCCCTCAAAAAAAAAAGTGGGATTTTGGGAAAAAATCACTTTACAAGTTGTTATTAATGTGTTACTATCTCACATTTATGATGCCGTGATTTCTAAGATCAGAATAAATTAAATAAACAAAATTATGCAAAACGGGAGGTAAACGACTTTTTAGGAAAGTTTATTTGCCACGAGCCGCGTGCTTAATAAACGAGTGACTTAAAAAGTTTTTCTACTGCCTTCTGTAAAATATAATGTCAGTGAATGTATTGATGTTGGTTTGCGAAAATGTGCCCAAAAACCAACGGTCGTAGACAAAGTATAGTATGCAACACGTTCGGTAAACTTTTTAAGTCACTCGTTTATTAAACACTCTCTCCGCTCGCACCAAATTAGACATTAAAAACAACTCATGAAGCGGAAAATGTTCTCAAAATCTAAACTTTTTTTTTGAACATTAATTTCTTTTATTCATATTTTAGGTTGGAATAAACATATTGAGAAGCGATTTTCGCTCAGTTATTGGGCCCTTATCTAGTGCCTTAAAAAAATGCATATTTTTTTTTTCATTATTTTTTTTGTGAATATGTCCCAAAACACTACTTGTTGGGAAGGATGCCAATCATAATCGCGTCACTCATGGCACGATTTATAGCTCAGGAAAAGCCCTTTCTAACGGATCCATGTTTATTATAAAATGTGTTCAACTGAAGATATGAACATTGCAGCATTTTGTTTTGACCGATTTACTTCTTTGTTCGTTTCCCTAATATCGTACCTTGTTGTTCTTATTGAGACACCCTGTATATATGGATATATTTATGCAATATTTCATTTTCTCGAAAATTGTTAAATAACAAATTTGAATGTGCTGCATTCGATGAAAACAGTTTTCCAGGGTATCTCATAAGAAGATCATAGCATCTAACTTCCTTACCTTAAATGGAACATCCGATAAATTATAACATTTTTGAATTTTTGGAAAAATTTCATTGTAAGTTCCTTATTCCGTTCATCAAAATGCAAAGTTATGTATAGATTTTGCAAAGTTTGCCGTTTTTGGAGGTTGTTTACGTCAATTTAGTAGACCATAACTTAGACTGAGTTCTTTGGATGTTCAGCTTTGGAACGTAAATTTTTCTTTTATTATTTCTAATCTAAACACTTATGTCTTACACCGTAGCACAGCACAAGAATGACAAGTAACAATTTGGCAATTGATTTGTCCAAAACAGAATGTCTAGAACTTGGTGAGACTTTACGTTATTTTGTTTATCTTTTTTTTATTGAGAAAAACCTTTTATACTATTTATAATCCGTTCCAGAATTATATTGTATTCATTGGCCACGTTTTTCCCTATTCTTATTTTCAATGAATATTACAACCGGCAAAAGTGCAGTTTAATTAAGTAGCAATGAATTCAAAGCGTCTTGTAATCTTGGAACTGGGAAGCCAAGAAACAAGAAATACAAAAACCCTACTAATAAAAACACCAAACTCTACTATTATTCGAGTAATGAACCTTCAGTGTGGATTTAATATAGTAAAAAAATGTAGTAATGTAGTAGTATTTGAAAAAAAAAAAACACTTTTGCATCTTGTAAATTTTGAAGACCTCGTAAGTGATAAATCAATTTCGAAAGAACGATTAGAATTGGGTATAGGAAAACCCGTATGAACCCGCCATAAAATGTTCTCAGAACTCCAAAAATGAAATAATATACGGGGTGTTTCGTTTAAAATAGGAAAGTTAGATGTTATGAGATACTTATGAGATACCTCTGTATAATATCAACTATTTTCGTTGCATGCAGCACAGCCATAGCATTTAAAATGTTGATTAGGAAAATTACACAAAAAATTAAAAGCGTTTTAAATAAAATTAGTAACAGTACTACTTGCATCTAGGACAACAGCACACGTAGTAGTTGAAAATGGTACTGGTGGTAATGGTAATGGTGTTCTGAAAATTTGTTCACTTGCATAACGATCGAAATATTTTCAACACTGCAATGCTTCATAAAGGTACCTTATCTCTTGTACGTTATTACAACTTTCACTGGCGATATACCAATACTTTATCTTTCTATACATTCTCTATATTATTCTAGAAAACGGCATATTTCAGCAAATCGCACTGCATATGTGTTTACGATATTTGCTTCCAGGACGCATCGCTGAGCAGGCAGCAGGCCGTACCCCAATTGGTACCGGCTTCCACTTCCATTCAGGTGCAGGGCAGCCACTTGTCTCCTCAATTAAACGCCAAGAGCGGAGGTAAAGCGACCGCCATCAGAAATCGTTCGCCTACGGGGCAGTCGCCCGTGAGCAAGACGAGGAAGCCATCTACTTTAACCACCACCGAGCACGTTGCGGCAGCCACCACCAGCCCCAAGAGCAAAACGTGGAGAGGTCGCGTCGTCAAACAGTTTAAGAAGTTTAATCAGGGCGCGCATTCGCCGAGCTCGCCCACAGCCCCCGAAGGGTAGGCGTTCAAGTAAATCTTAATGAGACGTACATAGTGTATTTGGTAGACGACCATAAGAGGTTATATTTCAAACCCTTTCTTACGACCGTGGTTGATTAACAACGTCGTTAAAATCTGAGGTTGGTTCCAACAGAGTCTAAACTCATTTTGAATTGTACTGAGAAGGCCCATTAGCAAATAATGTTCCAACGAAATTTATTTCGAGTCGAATTCAGAACTTGAAGTTTGTCATGCCAACAATATTCCAATGTTGTTTTCAACCAGTTTAAGGAGTGTGAAAAGAATTCTAAGGTTGTTTCAGAATTTTGACCAATTTAAATGTCTTATAATTTGATGGATGCTTGAAATATTGGAAGCTTTGAAGTATTTGTTGCAAAAAATGTTTACGTCGTTTTCTAAAGTTTAAATTAAATTAATTTTTCAGATTTTACTTCCTAAATTATTTCAAAAGCGGTTAAGGCTTATGTTTTGGAACAAACCTCTTAAACGATAGCAATACGGTGGACTGGCAGCTCTTCTTAGATCTCTTAGGTAGTCAACTCTTACCCCTATGTGCTTGTGGTCAGTTCTCTTGCATTCTGTTTACTTGAGTGGCATTTCCTTTTTCCTTTCCTTTCTTCTTCCCCATCTTACGTTCTGCACTCCACATTGTTGCCTGATGTCGGTGGTCTTGTTTTTACCACCGTATTTGCTTGAGCCATTTCACCTAAAGCCCTGTTATTTTTCTCTTTTTGTTATATGCGTTTCAAGTCTAAAATAAGTCTGAAGGCACCAGATTTACCACTTGTCCAAAAATCTCTCAACATGTTCTATCCGTCAAAGACAAAATTCAGTTTAAGAGACAGCAGGAGTTTACAGCATTCCATGCATATACATTGGAGACACAGGTCGAACGATATCAGCTAAACTAAAAAAACATAAAAGAGAAGCCTACTGAAAATAAATTCATCAGCAATTGCCAAACATAATGATGAAACCGGACATCAAATCTTATTCGACCAAACTAGAATTCTTGCATGGAATCGGTTCTTCTGCAATCTTTATATCTCAAAGTCAAGCCTCCTTAGGGAAGCTTGGATAGTAGATGGGAGAAATCCGACGTCAGCTTGCACATCAAAAACTCTAAAACCCGATAGTAGCTCAATAATGAAGCATTTTTCCATTTCCATTCCATTCATTTTCCATTCCGATAACGTAATGGAAATTTGTGATTTTCGATTTTGGGAAAGTGAAAAAAGCATCTCTTTTTTTCGCATCCCACAACGTTCCCTTCCGTTTTTGGAGGAGGAGGAATTTTTTGGCATGGGCCGAAAGATCACGGGGTCTACTACCTTCGATATCGATCTGAACCTCCTAGACCCAACGACGCCTCGTCGGCGAGCATGCGAGCGCGCGTCCACGCTCAAAATTACCAATTTTTGAGTTTTTGAGGTATCGCGATTTCGATCGCGCCGGGAACTTTTGCGCCCGAAAAACTCCTGCAAACCGAATTTGAACCGATTCGGCCCAAAATCCTCCGAGATAGCAAACTTTTGCAACTTTGACGAGGCGCCCTCAAAAGAAACTCCACAGACGGGTATAGGACATCAAGACATACCTGAGTATAGGTGCTTCGATGTAGGTCCGTTTTTTTTTCCTACCGCCCATAGGAGACGAGATCCTTTCGTACCTCAAAACATCTTCAATTCTGAGAAGGAAACTTTTCACCCCCAGACGTAGCCCGGGACGCTCCCAATCCGAAAACTCAAAACGAAGATTTTTTGAGATCGAATCCTACATCCTACATCCCTAATACGATGCCGAAATCAGTTTCCCGTAGGTCCTACCGTTTTGCCGTACCTCCCATCAACTTTGGAACCCTTAATTTTTAGGAGGAAATCTGTCAGTTTTTTTCTAGTTAGTCCGATACTAGTATCCCATAAAATCTTCGTACCGATCCGATGAAAAAATCGTCCAAAACGTGTTCGCCATTTGCGGGAGAGATAGAGATATAAATATTTCTAGATTACAGACTCATTATGATTAGTATGATTGTATACATGTTCGAAAGAGTTCCTTTTGTTAGCTTTTCAGAACTGCACCGGCAATAGAATGAATAATTTTATTATATCCCATTATTTAAAAATTGAGCAGTGGTAAGCAGCGATGCGTGATAATTTGATCGTTATCGAGAACTGTTTTTACTTCAAATCACTCCCATCACTCGGCTTATTAAAAATTGTAGGTCTACGTTTGGCATACCCATCGAGGACTGCATACCGTCTAACGGGAACGCGTGCGTGCCTCGATTTGTCGAGGTCTGTACAGAAATCATCGACGAAAAGGGGCTGCAGACCGTAGGCATATACAGGGTGCCCGGAAACAACGCTTCGATCACCGCTCTCACAGAAGAAATCAACCGCAACTACGAGGACGTGCCGTTGGACGATCAACGATGGAACGACCTGCACGTCGTCAGCAGCCTGCTCAAGTCCTATTTCAGGAAGATGCCCGACAGTTTGGTGACGTCGTCACTCTATCCGCTGTTTATCAAGGTATGAAACGAAGCAGGACAAAAATCGGGTTATATGTAATCGAAATGTTCTCGCAGTCCGACAAGATCGAAGAACCCAAAACGAGGATGGAGGAGCTGCGCAGGCTGGTCCGCGCCTTACCCAAACATAACTACCACACGCTAAAACACGTGGTACACCACCTAAAACGGGTGGCGGACAATTCGAATGTCAACAAGATGGAGGCGAAAAACCTGGCGATCGTGTTCGGTCCAACCATTGTGCGGCCGGAGTGCGAGACCATGGAGAACATGGTGAACAACATGACGAGCCAGTGTAAGATCGTGGAAAGCTTGATCACCAACGTAAGTTACCCGGAAATTGCTACAGAATATTGCGTTTACGTTTAATATTAGATAAAGGTTTCCCGGAACTTTTGAGGCAAGCAGTTTAATTTTTTATTACAGGCCGATTGGTTTTTCCCTGACCACGACGACGAAAACATGTCCCACATGGTACCGCTAGCATTACCGGACAATTGCGACGAGTTCGAACCGAACAACCAAGTGCTGCTCAACAACATTAGCAAATACGAAGGTAAACTAATCACCAGTTAAGATTAAAAATTTGGATTAGGCGAGTTGGCAATTTTCCTCATCTGTCACTGCGTCCCGAAGAAAAAGAGGACACGTTCCTATGGTACAGTTTTTTAGAATTTGCTAATTCGATTTTACTGACTTCCGACTTCATATTTTATTTATCTACTTGGTATAGATGCAGAATGTATGTATTAATACATTATAGATATATTAGTGGAATGTGCATAAGGGTATGTGTCTTCTAGGAGTATCACACAGCATTTTTTTTGCAAAAGGACAGGTTTCTAGAAACAAAACTTCATTTTAAGATGTTTTTAACGTAGTTGTACCCTAAATAGGTTATTTATATATTTATATAATTCCGTGAAGAAACTTTTCATCTAGAAAACAGTTTGGTGGTCTTCTTGACATAATCTACATTCGATATTTTCTTTCACTCCCATAGGGTTTAAATCTCTTATCCTTACATCCTTTCTTTTGTAGTTTAGCAAGTCTGCTATAAATTTGTAGGAGAACTTCATTAGTCTCTCTTTGTCCTGACATCTCTCTTCACCATTCTATGCATTCTGTAATGGCCATCCCACAACAAGGTTCTGGTTCAATCATGCACCTATGTGGCTGTAGCAATCTGTGTCGTTTTTAATTCTCTTTACAGTGGGGTAATCTCTGCGTGTAACACCGGTGCCCGTTGGAATAGAATTTTTGTTTTCGTCATGCGTTCATTCATATATTCCAACCTTTTTCAGTTTGACAGATTATGTCTATTCTTAGTGGTGCGTGATTTTTTCGATCTTCTCTGTTAGTACTATCTATAGGCAGCCCTAAGACCTGTCTGCCTTTATCTCCCTGGAGGACTTGTCATATTTGTTGCCATGTCCACCAAATATGGCACTGGAGTAATCTATATAAATATAGATCTGTATTAGTACGACCTTGTCGCCTCCACCTGCATGATTCTTGCCCCAGCCGCCGCCGCATCTGTCATGTTACTCGCTACTGTCGATTTTTTCGGTCGACGCGATGGCAATTACTGTCTGATGTACTTTACTAACATCAGACTTTATTCGAACTATTTTCCACTTGAGGTGGATTTAGCCACTCTGTTGTCTGCCGTTTTCACATATTATCCGTTAGTGGGTCCCCTATATGTGTTGTTTCGAGCGCATGTGTTCAGCAACATGCTAGGTTACTATCAATTACTTCCAAGATATCAAAGATATTCAACAAATTCACAATAAAATGCAAAGTATAATCTGGCGCACGTAATATCTGATGTTCGTATGCTACTCTATATTCTTATGTTCTCTGCCATGACTTTCAAAATATTGTGCTCAATTGTCACCACCAGGTGTTCCATAAAAATATAAACAATTACGTTACGTGCCGCAATTAGTTCTATCCGGGTTGAAGAGGACGCTGAGGACCCCCCAAATGATACTCAGACGATGACGGCTATGACCCAGATAAAGTTCAGAGAGGGTATACAAGGGAAATCTAAATCTGCAATCGCTTCCTGTGATTGATATGAAGTTCTATGCTATTGGCATTGGCCAGTTCATATGGATGGACATGAATAACGTGGAAGTCGTAGCCGCATGAAGTGTGAAAAATGTCAAGTATATCTCTGCATCGGCAAATATAGAAACTATTTCAAACGTTTTCATAATAGCTGTGTGACAAAGAAAGGTGACTATCGAAATATCAGTGTCCCTACAATTTTGTATGGAGGTATTTTTGGGTTAAAATCCCAGTTTCTTTCTACACATTCTTCTGCACTGTCTTGTGACAATTGTTGCTTTTGGTAGAATGTGACTTCTAAATACTTTGCTTCCTTGAAAAAACCTACTCTTTCTCCATATACTATCGGCGGTTTGAGTACAGTTTGTAAATGGGACGTTTTCTTCGAGTCAATTGTTAGCTAATGATTTTGGTGCCAGTTCAGTCTGGAGGTTCATTCCTGCACAACAGCGGTGTAAGTTTTTAAGGAGTGGTAGCAAGGAGCAATACCATTTAATTGAGTTTATTATAACTTTATTAGACCTTAATTTCCTTGAATTTCTTCATTTATTTCCGTTCTACGTGGATGATGAATACGACTGGTTAGGTGTAATTTCCGCCGCTGTTGCAACAACAATATTTTGCTCCGCAGCTTTGAAGGACCAAAAAGAGAAGAACGGAGCGTTGCTGTCGTCCCTAATATCGGCGGCCCAGCGTAAGGTCATGAGGAAACCCTCAAGAACGACCGCTCAAGATACGAGCCGAGAAGAGCCGACCACGCCCACCAGTCCGAAGCCATTCGCGCAGTTTCCGCCAGTCGATTCCAAGAACAATGGTGATCAAAATCAGGACTCGAAAGGAAACGGCTGTTCGATCCCGGTGACGGTCGTGGAGTTGGAGAAGCGCGACAGAAACAAACCGTCGGCGGAGAAGATGCCGTGGTTCAATTACTCGACGGACAAAGACGAGTTTCATAGGCGGATCGAAAGTTTCAAGCAGGAAACGGAAGCGATGCTCCAACGACCGAGGAAGACGGAGATCAGCGTCACGAAAATAGGTACGCTGGATACATCTACCATACATTTTAAATTACTCTCTGAATTACTCAAACCAGCAATTGTATATATTGTACATTTGAAATACTACGTTTTTTTTTTCTTGACTAAACTAAAAGCCTTGGGTTTTTATTATTTGTCAGCAAATGTCAGCATGGTTCGGTAACGATTTTTTAACATTTTATGTATTTTGAATTACTCTAGGAAACACTCAAACGAACATTTGAATTGCTACGTGTATTTTAATGCTTTTGAGTCACTACCTGTTGTAATTTTTGAGAGAAAAATAGAAAATACTGAGAATGCTGATTGAAAAGGACATGATGAAAAATATCCTTATTTAAAAAGTTATATATTTTTTAATTATCTTCCTATTATATTACAATATTACAGTATCTACTTCATTTAGACGCCTAGAGAAAAAAGTGCTTTTACCAGCATCCAAAAAATGACTAAAATAATGTTAAACCGTATTCTGAAATACTGGCAGTTTATGGTAGTCACTGAAAAATGCAAATATGTTCAGTAACCAGTTTGGATGCACTTGAAAATCTGACGCATATTTTGAAAAGTTTATGTCCAATTAAATTTAAAAACAAAATATAGTTGAAATTCGCATTTGAGCTGCTAATTTGGTTTTTATAATGTTTTCCAGATGTGTTTTTGGCATTTTAAGTGTTAAAAAATACAGTTTTTGTTCCGAATTGTATGCATTGTTTTCCTAAAACGTTACAAAAAATACCTACAACGAGCGTACACATGATAAGATCTGTGAATGGCTACACACAAACAATTAAGAGAATCTATATACAATACATTTGGTTTATACATTAAAGCCGTGTGTTAAAAAAGATATATGCATCACTGTACCACATATGCAGTGGTACTAGTTTAGCTAATTAGGTTTGTATCAAAAATATTAAATTAAAGACTGTCACTGTCAACATCCCAGTTCACAATAATGTATCCCAGCTACTTTAAGAAAATTAGTTACATAATTCGCAAATAAGATCAATTGAGTTCATATAAAATTTAAAGAGGGATTCTCGTCATTAAAACGTCTAAAAAACATTATTCAAACATAAATCCTGAATTTGTTTCAAGATAAATGATCGATCACCCTCGAACATAATGCGAAAGAGCGTATTTATTGCGAGGCCTTATGTGGTAGCTAAATTTTACTCATTACAAATCTTTTGGATTTCTCCTACATCGGTTGTTGATTAATCGAACTTGCTGACGTTTCGCCGATCATCCTCGTACGGGTCCTTATGGATTCTTTTAGTTAGTTCAGATGGTAAATGTAACCGAGATCACTTTTATAAAGAAAATGGTGCAGATTAGCTTGTGGAATTTAGAGGAAATATCATGAGGGACATCAATTTTTACCCGCGTTAGGCCACTATATTATCTAATACTGGTAACATTACACCTTCAAATTGACCTTTAATGAGGAGATCTAAATATCGGGTGGTTTACATTTAGTACGAAGGTTGGGTAGCTCTTTTATTATCGACTTGTTTCGTTCCGCGTTCCAGAATCCAAATCCAGTCACTTGAGTTCGTCAGCGAGTAACGTGAACCAAACGTCGAGGCTCTCGATGAAACCGTCCGAACTGCAACCGCTGACGAAAACCCACAGCGCCCAGAACGTTTTCGCGCGAAACCCAAACAACAACCGGAACAGTTTCAATCCGGTGCAGTACGCCGGCAACGCGGCCGAGATGAACAACCGATACTCGTACAACGCTAGTGGACTCGTCGGCAGACCGTCGGGCCGGAAGGACGACGTGAAAACCTACCGAGAGGTCGACAGCGTGGACGCGGCAACCAGGTACTGCTTGAGGCGGGGCAGCTCTGTCGAAAACGTCAATTCCGGCATTTCGGATTCGAACTTGAACAATGGACTGAAGAAGGTGAAATACGAGAACGAGGTGAGTTCGATTCTTTGCTTTCCTGTCTTATTGACGACGCATTGTTTAGTAGTAGTACTAGAATGGTACTTAAAGGGTCGCAGTTATTACCGGGTGTCTATTTTTCCATAGTTTTACGGGGTATCTCGTTTATTTATAAAGATAGAGAGATACGACATTGTGTTCCTTTTTAGAGAAATAATTTTTGGAAGCTTTATACCTTCTATCTCAGTTACTCTAAAGGTTATTAGAAAAGTACTTGGTTGCTGATTTTACGCAGAATTCAGTGACATACTCACTCAGATTTTTTTTCTTCCGACATTTAAATAAACCAAACTTATATTATTGGATAATACGATTGAGTTTCTCAAAAGCATCTCTCTATGCTTGTTCTTAATATTGATTCTAATATTTAAGTTTAAAAAAAAATCGCTTTTATTAGTTGGTCATGACAGGTCCCTTGAAAAACAAAATAATAATCAGAATTCTGCCCTTTGTATTTCTTGCAATTTGTGTTACAAATTTTAATTAAATATTTTGGGAATTTATATTGGGAAGAAAAATTGTAAAAAATATTTTTAAACCGCAGTCTTATTGCAAATATTAACAAATTATGGGCACCTCCAAAATAGTATTCAATGGAGCGTTGGCACATCGTAATAATTTATATTTGCAACAACGTTAAGAGTTTCCTGCCACTGGCTTAGAACAAATAGACCTATAAGACGGCCAACCTGGGTCACTCGATTTACCGATTTTGGATATCTTTTTGTGGAGGTACGTACAAAATAAAATTCCCAGTACCAAACAGTGGCAGATTTGAAAAATGCCACTAACACAATCCCTAGAGAGCTACAAGCAAGGGCATTTGTTATTTTTAAATGCAACACGTAAGTTTCTTTTTTATATTTTTTAATTAATTTTAATTTCTTTTAGAATAAATAAAAATTTCCAAAATTGTTCTCTTTTAAATTAAATAGAGGATTATATATTTTTTAAACGTAAATATTAGGCTTAATACTAAAAACAATTGTAGGCTTTTATTTTCCTGAGGCTCTCGACAAATTCAATCGTATTCTTCAAATATATACAGGATGATCCATTTAAAAAAACAAGTTTTGTTTATTGCTCAAAAATAATTGAAGACAGAAAAAATCTTAGTATGTCGCCGTTTTTTACTTTTCTAATAAGCTTTACAATGCCCGCTATACGAAGGGTTCCCCAAAATGGCAAAGTTTCCAAAAACATGCCGCATCCTAACAAATGTTGTAAATCAAGAAATGGACAGCCGATATCGGTGTGCAATCGAGAATTCCTTAGAAGCTTGTCGTCTTTTATAGAATCAGAAATCTTTATAAATAAATTATTTTTAAAATGTAATTCCTTTGAAGATAATTGATAAATATGTTGGTAAAAAATACAACTGTTTGACAGCACCCGGTTAATAATTAAATAATTTAATTTAAATAATTTCAAAAAAAAATTTTTCGACGTATTTCTTGATGTGTAAATTGTAATAGACAAAAATGTTTCCAATAAACCCTTTTATCGAAATTGATGTTTTTCCATGTCGTTGCCTAAGTCTTTTAAATTTAGTTGAGCACCATCAAAAATATGCATAAAGAAATGTTGGATTGTTCTATCCATTGTCGTTTTCAAGATAAAAAATAAAAACTCTATTTTGCCGCCACGTTGTAGTGTAACTGTTGGATATTATCTCAAGATTTATAAAATAAACTACCCTATATTTAAACATTTCATTTTTTTGTCATTATTTTGAAACACCCTGTAGAATAAATTGCCTGAAACAACAAACGTAATGTGTTTGGAGGACCATCAAGAGACTGCTTATTGGAATCGAACCAAACGCAGTGACAGAGTTTTTGTATTCATAAAACAATTACTTTTGTGTCATTTCATTTTATGTTTTGCTTACTGTTTCGAGTGGTTCTGATTTGAAATAAAGAAGTATTATTATTATTTTTTGCAGAGCGACGGCCAAAGGAGAGGCTCGTTCGACTCGCTGAACAAACTTCAGACGGAGGACGGTAAGTAAATTAATCTCGATCGAAGTCCGTGTCCCGAGCTCACGTTTCCGTAACGTTTAGGCATTAACGATCCTTCGGCGCCGGTCAGGGGATGGAGGTCGGTGCGACCTCCTTCCGCCGCCACCCCCCAAAGACCTCCGAGAACGCGCCACTCATACAATCGACCCGAGGTAGAACGCTGGGCAATTAAAAAAAAAAATCGAGCTTTCGCAATCTGTGTTTTTGCCAACCGCTTGATGAGCACAAAATGTCGTTTAAGTAACACGTTGCCATGCGAAACGGCTTCACGCATTTCGTTTTCGGTGAATGTTTACACGAGCTTTTTTGATTAAGATCCAAAAGACATTGAGCGTAATTTGCAAAATTCTATGCACAGCTATTCGATAAATTTTGAAAGTTAGAATAGTATTAAATTTTTAAATTTTTGGATGTTCTGGATAAATTAAAATAAAATCAAACTTCGATATTTCGAAAACATTTATTGGTAAAAAGATTTGTGTGAACTGAATATTCTCAAATTTCAATTCTATCAAACTTTCTACTCCCATGTATATTTTGCTTTTTGAATAATTTTGAAGATCAGTTTTTCTTTTTCATGTGTAATTAATTTGCGCACTTCATTTAACATACCATTCATAACATTTTGTATTGTAAAAATTTGATTTATGAGATAGTGTTTTTCAAAGAAAAAAAATTGATTGGTGCAAAGACAGTAAAATCCAAAAAAGTAGAGAAAAAAAAAGCCGATCAACTCTTTTTAGATTACATGCGTTGAGTTACATCGAAGATTACATTTATTAGTATGTATTAAATTTAGTATCTATATAATGTTCTCGTAGATTTCTCTGAATTTTCATTTTTTCCAAAAATTACTAGTTTTTGGTCTTATTTTCTTCTAAATTCATTTATTTATAATATAACCCCAAAACCACAGACAAGTTCTATTATGCAAGTGGCAAATATTGACAAAATAAAACGTTCGAAAGTATTTTACCAGAGCTGTCGTTTAAATATTTTAAAAGATATAAGTATTGCTATTAGAAAAAATACAATGGCAAACAATTTTTCCGTTTGTTACCTTATAGACATTTTTGAAAATATTAAAAAGATTATTTTTCAGCAGTAATCTTCAATTTTTCAATTATTTGTATTTTATATTTGGTATCTTTCTTGAGGTCTTTTAAGTACGTTTTAAAAGTTTAGTTTTTGTGTGTGTTAGGACAGGAGGTTTGATTGGATTTTTTTGTTGCAAAAAAATATACATCGCCAAAGTTTATAAAATCAATATTTTCAAAAGTTGGGAAATTGGTTATCAAATTTCTTCTTCTTCCACCTTTTATCAAAATTAGAAATGTTTACCATAGGCGAATCCCTCCCGCTTCATCATTGAGCTGTTAGGCAATGACTGTTCAATAGTGGAAGATTAAGATGTGGAAGATGTTTTTATATTAGGATCGGAAGGATTGTTTTTAACGCTATTAGTAATTTGTAACACTATGTACAATATGGTAATATCTTAGTTTATACAGTTCCTGGAACACCTACATTTTTTAATTGTTTCTTCGCACACTATCTGTATCCTCTTTTTGTGCAGCACGGTACACAACTTTACAATATTTTGTATTTCATCACTCTCACTCAATAACGTGCTGGCTGTTGCAGCATTAATAATAATAACTTTCTGACAACAGACCGCAACGTTTAGGTAGAAAATCTAGTGCTTACAATGGCAATCGGACGATCTTGAGTAGTTGCAATACATCAAAGGTAATAAAGGAAGAATAGTTAAAACCGAAGAAAATGTCTATTGCTGTAAAAATAAGCTTTCAATACTCTTATAAAAATCAGGTTTGCTAAATTTTTTTTTTCAAATTTATTTTCAAAAATGTCTGCGACACTTCCTAAGTGACATCATCACTGACCCTTCGCAGGATTTAGTGACTCTTCATCTCATGAACGGTTGATATACCTGGTACGGTTGAAATACTTTGTCGTCTGCCTACCACTGGCTTAGACTATAAAGAGCAAGTGCGCATACTCATAAACATCGCCGAACCAGTTTCGAACAAACCCAATTTACAAAAAGTGTCCGAAATATAGAAAACGGTGGTAACCATAGCAGATTATGCAACAAGTGTTATAAGCAGACACTATTTCATCTCCATTTTTGTAGACACGGGTGGAGCATATAGCAAAGTTTATAAAGCTCATTGTGTACTTAACTTCTTGTATGACAAGCTAAACTTGTGCATGCGCGCGCCCGCCAAGCCGCGACAACGCACGAAGTCGCGGCTTGTCAGGCCGCTGTTATTTAATGTAGGAAACGTATAACACAGCAAAAAAAACTGTAAACGGAGTAAAGAAAAGGTCGTTTCTACGCCCCTTTTTCCCAATGCCGCTCGCAACGCGTTTAAATTAACCCAACTGTTTTTTGCCGACTAAAATCGTCTACCTTTCATTTCTGGGGGATCGACAGCTATTCTCATCCACCACCCTCTCGTTGCAGAGTCCCTGTTGAGCACGATGACTAAACTGATTGACCAAAAACTGAAGGAGAAATCGTCGCGGCTGAACATCCTGTCCGACGACGACATCCCGTATGCGGACGAGTCTCCGGACAAGCGAACGGGTAGCGACGATGTCACTGCCCCAGACAAGGGAACCGCGTCGCCCGTCAAGGACCTCTACAAAAACCCTAGCCTGCACAAGAGCAACGCGCGAAGCTACCGCGACGCGCCGAAGGAGCAAGCGAAACGGGATAAGGAGAAGGAGGTGGACACGCAGGAGGACACGGTGCCTGACAACGAGCGTCACATATCGTTAACGTTGATCGCGAGCAAACTGAAACGGTCCGAGTCGCTGAACAAACCGCCGCCGACCACCAACAACAAGGTGAAACGGTCGGAGAGCTTGAACAAAACAGGAGACAAACTGAAGAGGTCCGATAGCTTGACGAAGACAGAGAAAACAGAGAGCAACATCAACAAGCGACGCGAGTTGGGACGCAAACTCAAAGAGTCAACGAAGAACAAGCGGAAGAACGGCGCGCCCGATCGTTCGATCAAGCGGCGTCACACAGTGGGCGGCACGAAAGACCCAGACAAGGTGACATGGGTGATGGACACGGCGCAGAAGCGGGAGGATCCGCGCGCAGATAAGGAGAGGGGATTGAGGACGAGCTCGCCGGACCTCAGCTCGACCAGACGCGAACGGTTCTTCTTCGAGATTAACCTGATCGGGCCGGAGAACATGGTGGTGGCGCTCAGGCAGCATCTGATCGGCTCGCGACCTCAGAGTTTCCCAGAGTCGACGGTGTTCAAGGTACCGCTCGAGTCTCACGTGTGAGTCACGTCGCGACGCATGTGCAATATGGTATTTCGCTGGTAACGCTCGGATGGTATTCTAAAACGATGTGATATTAGGTTTAAGTTGGGTGGCCGCCGTCCCCCAACCCCGCCTGGTTTTTACGGTATTTAGCGTCTAGTTTGTCGACTACCGCGGCAGTAACGCTTTCGCCAATTTTGCTCGTTTTTACCGACTATAAAATGATACTTCAAAAATATGTACGTCTGGAATTAGAAATATATTCTGAAGCATGGCTGTTACAATTTTAGTTCTGCATCTTAATACTAGAAAACTATTTGTCTGGACTTCCATTGCCTTTGCTTTAAATTATATCTAAAGCCAATAAAAATAAAATTCATAAACTTACGACCTGAAATGTAGTGTGTAATGTGGGTGCCAGCCAACTACTGGTATCCACGGTCGGTTTACCGCACTTGATGGACTACTGAAAGCGTCTTTGATTCCCTGCTTTTTTTAATTTTCTCTTGTACCGGGGTTTTGCCCTCCACGAACTATTGTTGCTCCCGTCCCGAAAATTCAGTGCTGCTTTATCCAGGGCAACAAAGACGCCTTTGGCAAGCCGTCACTAGAGGTAAGCAAGCTGTGGATACTATTAATCACAGGTAACAAGGACAACCAAAGAGGGCTGTCACACACCAGCAACCAGCAGTCATACCTGGTGCGCACAGTATATTTAAACTCCGACTTTTTAGAACTTTGTCGTTATTCTCTTGACTACCAACCGCAGCATTAAGATGTAACTAAGAATGAAGGCATATACAACTCTTTGCCTATATCCTGCGAACAGAGATTGTGGAACTTCTATTATGTAAAATAAAATAAAAACAATGAACGTTCTACAATCAGTTAGTTTCAAACATGGGTTGCTTTTCAATAAACAGTCGAATTAACCGAAAAAATTGCAATGCTGGCAGAAGTTCGCCCATTCATTTGATTCATTCACTATTGGTAGTCGTCAACTAGACTTAACTCGTGTATATACATAAACTTGTAGCGTAGATCAAAACGGACGGAAATGCAATTTCTCTTGTTAAGTAGATTTTTTATTATTATTATTACGATCTTGACAGTTTCGCATTTATTTGTTAGGTAATTTTTAGTTTTTTCGCTTGTTTGAATGTGATCCCGCAAAATAATTCCAGTTGTCGAGCAATTTTATTTTGTGATAAAAAAAGTAGGACGTATTCTGTTGTACATAAATAAATATCGGAATTTGCCTAATTCAATTATTTGCACTGTACTAACTATGTAATTTATAACCGTATGTATTGAATTAAAAACGGCGCAGGACGTGCGGATATGGAAACCGATCGCCCTTGCAACGCTGCTAGGCTGTTTGTATCTTGCCTGTTATTGTTTTTATAGTTTTTAAGTACAAAAATGTATGTGTTGTTGTAATTTGTGGAAATTGTAAATATATTTTCAATTTATGCACTGATAATGTATCACCGATTCGTTTCCTGAAAAAGTCCCAAACTGACCTTTTGTGTATTTCTTGCCGATTTTGACTCTATGTCGCTTTTGTAAAGCCATTTCACATATGGCAACTTTACAAGAGACAAGACTTTTTTATCCACTTACCAGTACCACTTTTTTTTTTTCATAGATCATCCTTTCGTATTTATTGGACAAGAATGATCACCTCGACGTGTTCTACTCGCTTGACAAATTTCAACCCCCTTTATTATTTTCCACCCTCTTTACTCCTCACTCTTATGTGATGGAACAAAATTTGTTTGGACAATAAATGATCGACCTGAACAATTTGAACATTTCCGATACTTTAGTGACGGGTTCAGATTGATGAGATGTTTTCACTAGATAAAAATAACACTGATAGTATTTTGAACATTTTACTCACTTATTTGATATTAGAAAACAACACCGCCAGTAAAGAGAAAAAAAAACAATTTAAAAACAACAATTTATTATTTACAACGTTATAACATGTAACTTCGAGTATCACTTGCACATAATCTTTTGCACCGTTCGATAGTCGAAGGGGCCTGAAACAGCTACGAAATCGAATCATAGAGAAAAACGTGAACATCACGGGTAAGTAAATTTGTATATTGATAAATTAATAGAATATATATAATATATCGTTTGCTCGCTGATCTACATGACACAATCGTTCATTATTAAATAAAATTACAAGTAAACAATAGTCACCGTCAGCTTTTCATTAGCTTTTCGTTCGTTATCACAACTAAAATTCGCGTCAAACCGGCAACAGCAAAATGAAAACATTCCCGGATACACATACCATTTGAAGCGAAAGTATTAAACTAATTAACCTCTGCAAGTCGGAGACAGGCTTGAAGTTTTTCCCGAGCAAATTATAATACTAAAAACTACCTCCAAACTATCGACGTGAGACGAACCTCCAGGACTAATTATGCAATTTCAAATAAGCGTCCACGAACAAATCCAATTCGTGGGCGAGGTAATTGGCTTTGTTACGCAAGACCTGAAATGGGAATTTTCTTTTCAATGCCTAATTATTATCAAAAAATTAAATACTAAAATATTAGGTTACACAAACATCAGTTTTAATACTGGTATCTCTCATTAGAGAAAAATACGCAACGGTAGAAATAATCGCATCTCTAAATGAAACATTATTCCCAAACAATCAAAAACACCTTAAGAAACAATCACATGAAAGTTGACCCCGAGGTTAGACTGTTTACTTGGCTCACTTTAACTTAAGAAGACATTTTGGCATGTAGAAATAGTATCACAAATAAATAATGCTGTTGGAGAGAACTAGATTTCCAGAAAAATGTTAAAACTTTGTCTTATTGTTTAAAGCCACTAGTTAATATTATAGATGTATCTTTGCAATATGGTTCAGTTCCAACAATTTGCAAAATGGCTCTCATTACCCCCATGCCCAAGGTTGAAATGTCTTCAAGCTTAAATGAACTGAGACCAATAAGTATTCTTCCTGCTGCCTTAAAAACACTTGAAATTGTGGTAAAATATCAAGTTCTCTCGTTGATTGATATAATACCCAAATTCCGGACAGGGTGTTATAGCTTTGCATCACGATTAATAAAATACCAACCAACCCTTAACCAATATAGTTGATATTTGGTGGTGTTGAGACAAAGATTAATAAAATTAAGATTAAATAATTTAATTAATCCTTGTCTCAACAAACAACACCACCAAATTTCAACACAATAAATGTAAACATAGAAGGGAAACACGAGGTTTACTTCATCACAAAACGAAATTTTAAAATGAATTTAAGTGAGGTCACACACAAATTACTGCGAATTATCCAACATTTTTGACAACAAAAAATGCCTTTACCTTTTTTTTCAAATTAAGCAACTAAAAATGCAAGCTTTTTGTCACTGGAATTTTTGTCTATCTTGTTTCGTTTGGCAAAAGAAAATATTATATAAATATTCTATTGTTGCACTCTACCCACCATTTTAATACATGTTTTATTTATTTATTTTTTTATTTTGAGTGTCAAAATCTGAGGGTTTTGAAGAAGTACCTAGAACATCCGGGCCGTCATTAAAATTGATTACTTTTCTTTAAATTATATGGGATAAACTGGCTGGCTCCGTCCACGCTCTACAGACACCGTAATCTGAATAAAGTATCTAAATATTGAACCTACCTTTTTAAGAGATCTTTTAGCTACAATGCCACAAAATACAAATTGTTTAACAAAATCCCTAGTAGTTAAACAAGCTTTTAATTTTAAAACAACTGCGTATGTGTATAGCGGCCTATACACATGCAGGCAAGTGTTAAGACGTGCCTGTACAGGTCGAGACACGCGAGTAAGTGCGAATGTGTATGGGTCAAAACTCGAGGCTCGTTCAGTTCCAAGCGCGGCTCGAAACGAATCAGATTGTGTTTGATTTTTAGAGCAAGTGCGAAGGCCAACTTCATTTTTCACACAGCAGCAGGCCCCACCAACTGGTGAACCTCCAGGTTGACCTGAATAGTGTGTGGCCGCAATTCGTTTCGCACTTGCTCGCGGACTTACCTGTACACACTTGCGCGCGGACTTGCATGCATGTGTATAGCCCCCATATAACGTCCGAGTTGAATTGAATATTTCCATATTGTCACTTAATTGTTTGTTTATTTTTATTGTATATTCTGTTTGATACGAGTCTTTCACTTGTATTGTTTTTATTTAATCATTATGTTAATGTCTAAATGAGATTGTTATATGAAAGGGCGTATTTTACAAAAATCGCCATCATTGCAAACCCATATCTTGCGCATTGCACGTATAAAAAAATAAATGAGGTTTTTCAATTACATTTTTCCCTACAAAAAAGAGACGTACCAAAAAGTACAACAGAATTAGTACTTCAAATGCAACGTTTCCCCAATTGACGTGGATGGCCAGTGACTGATTATTTGAATGTGTCATAATTGCACCAAGCTTGCCACATTAGTCGCATTTCCCGCATTCAATAGAACGAAAAGTAAACTACCGACCTTAGCTTTGCCGCCCGCACTGTCCAGCGTGGCGACCTCCTTCTCCAACACCCTGAGCTGATCGTCCATGTCTCTCGTTGCTCTGTCCACCAAGCTGCACAGTCTCGCAAATGTACCGCTCAGCTCCTGCTGTACCTGATGGCTGCAGTTCGCCGACGTCAGGTCGACGATCATTTTCAGTTTTCGGGTGGCGTGGTCCACATACTGCCTTTTGAACGCTCTCTCTTTCGCTTTGTTGGTCCACGTCAACCGCTCGTACAGATAAAGGCAGCTGTAAAGGGCGCCTGTGATCACGACCACCCGCCAACCGATGGTCTTGAACATGAATCCGGAGACCAAGAGGCAGCCCATGGTGCCCTGTGAAGTAAGTCCCATGAGGGCCACTCTGGAGAGTAGTGACCAGTCGTCGAAGGTGGCGTTCGGGTACATTAGCCTGCCGTCTACTACGTCTGTCGGCGTCGAAGGCATTATGCTGTTGTGAGGTCGTTCGCGGTTATTTTTTAACGCTAGGAAGCTGCCACCCTTGCCGGCAAATCGTTGAATTAGAGCTGTTATACCGTAGGAAAACCTGAAAATGACCAACAAAAAACAGTCTAGAGCAAGAGGGTCAATCTGCGGCTCTCTGAAGGATTATTTTTCGCTCTCAATAAATCTACCGAGTTCCCTTTTCATTGTTGTGTAATTACATTTTTAAAATGATTATCGTTCCCTAAGTGTTTCAAAACGTTTTTACTGAAAATTTAAAGGACAAATATCTTCCAAATGACATTAATTTCTTAATAATAATTGTCTATTAATTATTACTTAATTTAGAATTACGACAATGACAGCTAGTTACGAGCAAGGCGCAGATTTAATTCTTGCCATGTGTTTGGATTTGTCGCAAACTTTGGAAAGTGTAAGCCACAAGACACTTTGATTAAGGTCAGAAAAGAAGACATATAGTATTAATGTGGTAAAGCTTGTTTCCCGGAGCTCTATTCTGAGCATTCTGTTGCATGTACAAATGAGCTCTGTAGTATAACTGGTGAATATAATCTATTGTATGCAGATGATACAACTTTGATTTTTAGTAGAGAGGATACTGATAAAATAAAAATTAAAGGATTTAGCTGCTCTCAATCTGTACTTCTCCATCATGGGATTCTTCTAAATATACCTGAAACACAATGCCCTGTGTACAAAAATCTTATAGACCAGTAACTAAAATTTATATATAATGGCAATGGAGTACATTTCTTCTCTTGGACTTAAAATAGATAATATCCAAAATGTGGTAGTACACGTTGCTAAATATGCACTGAGGGTAACGGCTAGAAATGTGAGCAGCAGCGCATTGGCTTACCATGCCTCAGTTCATTATCTTTGAACTGAGCTAGGGCGATTGCTATAGACCTATTTTGTGGAAAATAGAAATCTGACAAATATTGGTGTGTATGTTCTGGATTCTTTTATGTTGGTGTTTAAACACAGAGACCTGTTGGTACATAACATAAATCAAACCTTTTATCTAAGAGATGTAACTTTATATATGAATGTCTTTTTAGGGCTTATTTTTCTTGTTGCTTTACTATTTAAGACTACCTCTCATGCCATTCGGCCATTTTTTTTGTTTTTTTATTATAATTTGAAACAAATAAACGATTGTTTTTTAGCATTTTGTTTAAATTACTGCCTAATGATCAAATTAAGGTAAAAAATAAACAAATGACAATATTACTTAAGCCAACCGCTCACCTGAACTCTAAATCTTCGTGGAAATCAGCACACAAGTTATCGCAGTTCAATCGGTACAAGATTTCGAAAGGCTGTCTCCTCGGCAGAACGAACGTGCTGGCGTTTCGATAGCTTTCTGGTATCAGGGTCTCCATTTTGTTGGTCATTTCCGCCTGGCTTTGTTCCATGTTCATGGCCAGGGCCGTCGATAACCTACACCAAAGAGATTTTCGACTATAAGTTAAACTTTTAACCGTCACAGATCGATTTACCTCGCCCTTAAATTCGAGCCCAGACCAGTTTCGACGTGCAAATGCAGCTCCTTCTTGTAAACGTTAAGTACTAAAGGCTCCGGATGAAAGGGCAAACTGAACTCGTCCACCAGGCTACTGAGGCGTCGGATCTCTTCCGTCAAAGCTTTCGACACGCGCTGTTCGACGTCTTCCACCATCGTTCGAATCTTCTTTTTCATCTCGTGCGTTATCATCATCAACTGCTGCTCGGTGAAGTTAATTTTATCTGTCAGCTCGCCCTCCTGTTTGATCTTCTGCTCTTTTAATTTTAGTGCCTCATTGTAGATGCCCTCGAGTATATCGCGGAGCTCACTAACAAAGGAAAACGATACCCGGTGTCCAGTAGGAGGGTCAATGAGATACAGTATTAGGGAAATAAATGGTTATAGAAATTTCAAAATTGGAGAACAGAAGACGAAATGCTGGTAGATATTTTGGAGTATCTGAAATAACTACCTGGGGACGCAATTGTTATTTTGACTTATAAAATTCGGTTTCCACAAAAAAATCTAATATTAACCATGATTAAAGTTTTAAAGCTGAAACAAATTTAAATGATTTTTGTTTAATATCGTTCCATTATTCTTTTTCCAGGATTTTTTTTGTTGCGATTATTGCGATGATGTCAGAAACCGCCAGCTGACAGAAATGTAAATCATACGCGCTTTCCAAGCTTAAACACTTAAACTTTATTGCATTCACGAACTTACAAAATGGCACTCTTACGTGCAAACTGTACAAGCATGACAGAAGGCAAACGGAGAACAAACAAACAGGGAGTCAGTTACTACTGAGGGACATAGACAAGACTTTTAAGTTAAGACTATTTTCAATGGTTTATTGATAGAATGCATTTCGATTCGATATTTTTGAGAAGCTTGTGGTACATCTGTTAGTTTATCATATTTTGATTAGTGTGTGGCAACTCGAAAATCTTTTGCAATATACTTTCTCGTCGCTCTTTTTGATTCCACGAATCTCAACATAAATATAAATTTTTATTAAAAATCTTGCTTGGAGACAATGCACAAATGTAAAACTTTTGATACACCATACATGTATTAACCACACCACAAAAATTTGGGTCAATTTCAAAGTTAATTTTATATATTATAAAAAAATTAACCAGAATCATAATTATTAAACAAATAAAAAGTCAAGCTTTTTACAAAACTTCATGGGTCGGTTTTTGCTTAGTCGAAATTACTGACGTTTTGCCAATCATCCTGTTGACTGCCAGTTGCCAGTTTCAGTCAAGCTCTGAAGAAGCCAACAGGATGATTGGTGAAACGTCAGTAATTTCGACTAAGCAAAAACCGACGCAAGATGCATCCAGAAGTTTTGTAAAAAGCATTACAGTAGATTGTGGAAGTTTCTTTGAAAAATTAAATAAAAAGTCAATATCAAGTGTTTCCTCTCCTACTCCTTATAACCGATTAACTTGGACATTCGAGAACTGGGACTTTGAATCAGATATTTAATTTATGCTAGATCAATATTAATATATCTTTTATCATCTAAGAAGACGGGTTAAGGTTCGCACTGCATATAGGTCAATCTCAATCTTCACCTCATTTAAATAATTAAATAATAAGTAATTGCAGAATGTGGCATGCCATTATAAAACTTCTTTTGTAATCTGGCAACTTATTCGTTTGCCAATAAAAAAAACGAGAGGAATTCCTACAGAATGTGACAAATATTCAGTTTTTTAAACACTGTACATGCGTGAAACAATTATAGAAGTAGAATTGCTTTTCGTAGCATCGCTTTTGGAGTTCACCTAAATTTTAATGGTCCTTAATTTTGATGCGAAATTTATTTTTTTTTACATTTTACAATTTGTTTTAAATCTTGGTGAAAAAAACAATTAGCAATATTTTTGCGAAACAAATTGAGGCTTCGATATGAAATAAAAAAAGAAACGTTTACGCGTAAAATTACTCACTTGGCAATGTACTTTCCCCTTTGCGAATGCTGTTCGAACTTCGTTTTGACCGCTGACTTGGAAATGCACTCCTCGAACTTCCGCTCGAAATTTTGAAATTCAAAGTAACGGGTCTGAAATCCATCGGTGAGCGGAGTCGATGAGGTCTGACCCCTTTCGGCCATGCGCGCCTGCAACACCTCTTTTGCCGATATAAAGAAAATTCTCTCCTCGGCTTCCTTCGCCGTACATACGCCTAGCTCCTTCACCAGAAAGTCGACAGCCCGTTCCTGATGTTGCCTGCGCACCTTTACCAAAAGTTTTCGAGTCAAAAACAAGTATTTCTCAAGCGGAATAAACACTCACCTCTTCCTGTTCATTGCAATGCTTACACAAAAAAATTAACTGTTTAAACGAACCGACCAACCAAACTCGTAAAAAAAAAGCTTTAAGAAGCATTAACCTGACAAATTGCAGGTGATCTATGAAGGGAAGGTCCAGTTTATTTACTTGTCAAATTTAAACAATGAAAACAAAAATCTGCATATTAACATGCATTATAGACAAAATTGAAATTTAAAATTAAAAAACGCAGCAAATACGGGAAGAAATACAAAAAATATGCCAAAGCATGTGTAAGCAACTCAACATTTCCAAATTTTGTTCGCAAAAAACAGAAAACATTTTCATTGTCAAAAATAAAGTTCAAAAATTTAACTGTAAAAAATGTAAAAAGATATTATTCCCAAATGGAAAAGAAAGCTCTAAAAAATAGACTTAGCAACGAAATTCAATTTCTAAATTAAGGTGCTGTTGTGGAAAGCGCAGTTAGAGAATTAGAGCTAATATATACAACTTGTATTGCTAAAGATTGGGGTCTTTAAGTTTTCAAATTTTGTAAATTGTAAACGTAACAGATCCACATGTTATGTAATAATTTACAGTGTTGCTTGTGTCGAGGATCTTTCAAATCTTATACTTTTACTTTAAAACACCATGCGCCTTCACATGTTCATTTCCTCCAAAATTTGTAGATACTTTTTCTAAATACATTCTGGTTTTTAGTAAAAAAAAAACATAAAGTGGCGTTTCTGTGCTGCCCAATTGTCTACTTTTATATTATTATTTAGTATTATTTTCGGATTAGAGAACTCTTACACAAAGTCACCTTAATTTTTAATTCCAAATACAATCATAAAAAATTAGTTTAATTTGTGATCAACTCAACACATGACAATATCTCCCCCTCCACAAGGAATCCATCCCAAAATTAAATAATTAAGGCTCCCATGAAGAAAAAATTGTTAATTATTTTAGGCCCTGCAAACGTTATTTTTAATATAAAATACAAGGTTTGTCGAAAACGGACTTAGACACATAAAAACATAACAAAAATTCTGCATTCTTATTTTTACAATTTAAGCCACTAAAAATATAACTTTTTCATAACTTGTATAAAATTATGTTAATACAAAATGTTTAAAAGGCAAAAAATTAAAGTTAATAATTATTTCTTTCATATCGAGAACTCCACGAACTGTCACCACTGCTTTTTAACACACCAAATAACATTGTCAAATTATAACAGAATCGAGTGAATATTTCTTTAGATATTAATTTTAAAAAATGTTTTTTTTTAATTTAACACCCTGAATATTGAAAAATAAATAAGAACTAAAAGTTCAAATTTTCACGAAACACGTGTCGTGTCTTTATTACATTTGAAACAATTGTCATGTCCTAATATATAATTTCGTGAAAATTTGAACTTTTAGTTCTTATTTATTTTGATAAATGGATTTTCATCAAGTAAAAGCCACCTCAGTTCAACTATGTTTTGAATACTTTGTACATATAATACAAAATTTTCTCTAAATTTGATGAATAAACAGCAACTTTCAAGAACGCCTTTTTTTACTTAAAAATATTATTTTGTCTATTTGACACTCATCATGAAAAAAAAAAGCGTCTGAGGCTCTGTTTATACAATTCTAGCCTTAAATTCACTTAACGAATCGCGCCCTAAACTTTAGTAATGTGCTTAGAAAAACACCCTGTACAAATAATAAAAAATAAATTAGGCATTTTAATGTTAATTATATTCAGAAAAATCCCACTGTGCATATTTCATAAATAAATTATTTCCCTTCCTAGATCATCAACGTATTTTTCTGAAGCAATGCAAATGAAACATGAGGTGGTTGAGTGCTGGCTGAAGAAAAAAGCCAAAAGCATACATCATTTTTATCTCTACCATTGATCTATTTCAGTTTTATTTTAATTCATCAAAATAAACTTACTAATCAACAAATTGTTAAATGTACTCAAAAATTCCTACATTCTAATTTTATTTCAAAAACAGCTCATGAAACTATGGAAGCACTAAAAGGCCGACAAAGATAAAATATAGGTTTTATAGTTTACTTAGGCAAATGTTTGTCTAAACTTCTGAGAAAGGTCAGAATTTCTGAAAAATAAGCCAGAGTTTCTAAAAAACAAAAATATGTGATATTAATATCTGGTAATGGATATTGCAAAATTGAAGCTTCAGATATACAGGGCAAATCATAAACAAAAGATATCAAAATTGAGCTTAACATGACTTATACAAAAGTCGCTAATTGTGGAGGAGCTCAGCCAATATTTTAATTTTATTCTGAATTTATAACCTACATTTTATTTTGGCTGCCCTTCCAGCACTTTTGTATGAGAGAATGCTCTGTTTTAGAACCTCAAAAAACCATGCAATGCAATTTGCTTTTGCAATAATTTTTATATTTGAAAACCATTTTTTATTGAAATATTCTTAACAGTAAAACATTGTCTTTCAACCTAAAAAACAGCACTTCCTGTACCACCACTTTCAGATTTTTAGCAACGATTAATAGCATTTTTTTTTGTAGTTCAACTATACCACACACAAAATTTGAATTTTTTTTGCACTATTTTTTATTTATCATATCAAATCACATAATTTCAGTTGCAGAGTTTGTATTTCCTTCTTATTTTTTTACTGTAAAGAAAACCCCATTATGAGGTTTCGCCAGGGGACATTTTGCATACATTTTGGGATTATTTAATCTAAAATTAGTGAATAAAGGATGACTGTTTTTTTTTTTTTGGTTGAAACATTGTTCGCAATTCAAAATCGTTTTAAATAAAAATGATGAACTCACCTGATCTAAAAATTCAGGTTCAGTGGCTGACGCGTCCCACCTGTTATTTAAAATAAATATGTTTGGCTTGGACAGTTTTTTCGACACTTTATGGAAAAAATTTTTTTCCTAAAATTAAAAGTCATAACACTTGAACTTGCTAGGTGATTTGGTACCTTACAGTAACCATTAAAGTTGATTCTGCATTGGCAACAAGCACAAACACATCGGCATCCAAACAATGCTTATCAATCCATTCGTCCAAATTAGGCGTGACATCCACCCCCGGCGAGTCAACAAAGACTACATCGTCCCTCAATAAGAGGCATCGGTTCTTAGGCCAAAACACCCGCACCAATTGTGATTCACTTAACTTCTCCTTACACAAGGCATGCGCTAATTGACCCACAGACTCCACAGCACAATGATCAGTAGAACCTTCTAGAGTTAAATATGGATCTTCTGAAGAAGAACCTTCAACCTAAAAAAATAAGCAACATTAACAACAATAAAAAGCTGTAACTTTAAAAAATTATTCTTGTTACTAACTTGTAAAAAACAGTTGGTGGTATGACCAATTCCACTAGGTAATATTTTGTCACGTAGCATAGCGTTGATTACAGAGCTCTTCCCATTAGAAGTGCGTCCAAAAAATGCTACTTTCATGTGATCCCTGGCAAGCACCTCCCTGATACTGCGAACTTTATCAACAAACTCTTCAATTTGCTTTACTTTCATCGGAGATACTATGTGGTCCTCCTTTCCAATCTCTGAAGCACATGCCATAAACCAACATACGGAAAACAATGATCAAAGACTCACCTCTCATATATTCCACAGTATCATTAACATAGTCTTCAATTTCTCCAAATATATCATTAATTTTTTTCTTGGCTTTAACGAAAATCTGCAACGGGGAATTATCAATACCATTTGTTCTCAACACAGCAGTTACAGGCGGTCTATTGTGGGGCCCGTCGCCAGACATCATGGAAATAGTGCGATTAAGATAAGCAGCCATTTCATGCGAAGTGTGCAATCCAGTAAAAGGTTCTCTACTTTAGTGCACCAACCACATGCGTCGTAAACAGTAGGCAACTGAAAAATAACACAAAATCAAATGTAAATAGACCATGCATGTTGTGATACACAACAATGGGTTTTAGAAATTTTAAAATAAGTTTTAATTTTCACAGTTTACAGAATCACATTGCTATTTAATAAAATGTTTCCAAGACCCTAATCCTGAAGTACTTCTTCCCTTAACTTCATAGTCTATAGTACATAAGCCTAAAAATTAGAGTGATATACTACACATTATCTAAAAAATAATAAAAGCAGCATTACTGCATTTTTATTGTAGTATATAGTAGTACTGTACATAAGTTTACAACAATTAAATAAGAAACGCCAATGATCAACAAAAACGTGCAAATAGCCATTAAATATAGTTATAAACCTGGTTGGAATCCATGGTAAGTTATGGCATGGAAAAGCCAACAATCATAACCTCAAACCTTTGGAATACAAAAACGTTTCGTTAGCACGCCGCAGATTTAACAGTAATTGAATATAATATTGAAAATTATTTCCACTTACATTTCAGAATTAGCCCGGCGCAAGCAAGCAGCCCAAATGTTTATTTACGCCGTAAAAATGTATGTTTAGTCACTTGACGGGGTTCAATCTGACGATGTTCCTTTGTTTTCCACTAATTGTCATAGTAGAGAAAATAAAATAAGAATATTATTTGGCGTGCATTTAATGGTATCGTATGTATTTGAGGCATCCAGTTACGTAATTGCAGCAAATTTTTCTTAAAATTGTACCACCACAAGTCACAGGGTCGCTTTTGACGTTTCCGCCGATTAAAAAGAAATGGCAACTCTTCCTCTTTTAAATTTTCAACATATGTATATAACGACAGCATTTCGACCTATCCAATAAAGCTGATTGCCCATGGATAATTAACCATAGGACAATTTCTTCCCCAAGAATGGATGATGATGCGTCTCCCAACTCTATTAGTTGTTATTATTGTGGCATTAAGCTTCCCTCTACCCAAAGCTATTGTAGGTTACAAGACCCAGAGTTACTTTAGATATATTGGCCATATTTTGCCACTTTTCTATTAAACCAATCAGCCATAAAAATTATGAAGAAATATTATCATACTAGGAATATTATATGAGGGGATTCTGTGGTGGAGCATTGCACGCGGCGATTTAACCTCCGTTCGCTCCCGACAGAATCCCTTGTATTCGTCCTCAAAAGTTTGATATCGGTTTCCACTGTGTGGACTTAGTGTTTTTAGTGTTCAGTGCATGTTTTAAAGTGATAATCGTCGTCGGCCCCGTCGTTTTTCCCTGTTCACGCCGGTATGGAGGCCGGATGGGCCCGGATGGTGGGCGGTGGAAGCAGGGGGAAGCCGATTTTTTTTGGTATCGGTCAGAATCATTTTTTGTTAGCTGAGCAAATCATTGGTTATTTTTCTTCTTTGTACGTGGTGGTCATTGACCAGAAGCGAAAATCCTCGACGGAAGTCGGCAATGGGCGAATGATCCTAGCTGTCTAGCCCAACATTTTTTTTGTTAGACGCATAATTGAATTGAATTTGAATTATATGAGGTTATGTTATGAGACAAGTAATGAATATTTTTCTTAACATTGGCAGAAATCCTTTACACTTTTTACGTTCTCCTGTTGATATATATGTAAGTATTGCTAAAAAGAAGAGCGTCCATACAAATCACTGTCTTTATCAAATACCGCAAAAAATGGGAATAAGCCTGCAAGATTTAGTTAAAAGGCTACAGTGCCTGGCCCCACTAAACCTTGCGGAATCTTGGGACAACGTCGGCTTGTTAGTGGAACCACATAGTGATAAGACCATTGATTCCGTTCTGTTAACGATAGATTTAACGGAAGATGTTGTGAATGAAGCTATTAACGTAGGTGCCCAATTGATAATTTCTTATCACCCAAATATATTTAAACCTCTGAAAAGTGTTACTCAAAGCGCTTGGAAGGAACGTATCATTATTCAATGCATAAAAAATGGAATAGCCATATTCAGTCCCCACACAACTTGGGATGCTATGGAAAATGGTGTGAATGACTGGTTAGCTTCCGTATTTGAACCAGCAACAACCAAACCTATTTTACCAAACACGGAAAACTCAAATGTTGGAATGGGACGGTATGTTACATTAAACCCTGGCTCATCACTAAAAAAACTGATCAAAGATATTAAAACCAAGATTGGTGTCTCATTTTTGAGAATTGGTTTGGGCAAAGGCAAAAACTTTGGTAAAATCTCACAAAAAATATAAGAATACCAATTTTTACGTTAACACTTTTTTAGATGACACTATTCAAACTGTAGCTGTTTGTGCTGGGTCAGGAGCATCTGTTTTAAATGGTGTCAAAGCGGATTTGTATTTGACAGGTGAAATGCTGCATCATGATGTACTAGATGCCACTCAGAATGGCATTAGTGTCATTCTATGTAATCACAGTGACTCAGAAAGGGGTTTCTTGAAAACAGTGAAAAATATTTTGTCTGATCAAGTTTTAACAGTGTCTGTGTCAAGTGTGGATAAAGATTGCCTAACAACAGTATAAGCATGACATATGAATGTTTTTATTTATAAACCTACAATAAAATGTACATTTTCTTAAAACCTATGGGGACGTATCGGCCTCTCTACATCATACAATTTTGGATCTCTCAAGAAGCAAGGTTCCTTGAGATATGTCGCCATTAGACCAGAACTTTGTGCTTTTATTATTTCCTGTTCTACTCGTTCTTGTTGCTGTTTACAAAGACCTGTTATGTGCCTGCCATAAATCCTTCCAGTATAAGGTGACTGAAACTGGGAGAGCAACCGCACATTTTTATAGTCCACTTGGAGGTTATGCTTGCATAGGATGCATTTTTGCTTCTCTTTCTCAAAAGGATTTTCCATATCAAAGTCAGGTTCGTCATTTTTTATGGAGGCAGCAGAACTACTCAACCGCACCGTTGTAGGGACTAAAATAAATGGTACACAAAATAACAAATAGCAGGATTCAATGTTCGCACTTTACCAGAGCTCAGCGTCTTTAAAATTTTACTGCAAATATGGTTCATAATTGTTGTTCGTCTTTTTTAAACGCTCATCAGAGACAATAATTACTCAATATTAATTTCGATGGTTAAAATATGTATTAAATACCTAAGTTATGGTAACAGACACTTGGGTAATGGTAAAGAACCTTCTCTGCTTTTCAATAACGCTGGGCAACTTGACAGGAACACACGCTTATTACCAACATCCTTTGAGAAAATCAGCTTATTACCAACATCCCTTGAGAAAATCAAATATCGGTCACAGACCAACACATATTTTATGACTGGTTTTACAGAGAATTATTCTCTTGTTCCGACATCAAACGGAATAATTGAGAGAGCATAAAGGCGATATGCACTGCGAGGCAGTTTGATTCTAACAAACAGAGCGTGAGACTGGAAGGAGACAACCCATGATGCAGAACACAGATGAAAGTGCTTTCTGATATGTCATAAAATCTTTAGCTATATCATTTGTACTCTGTAGGCATTTGATATCGGTTTCAATAGTGTGGTTTTCGTTTCCTGAGTGTTTCGTGAAAGTTTTAAAGTGTGTAATTGTTGTCAGTCCCGCTGCTTTTGTCATCCATGCCGGTTAAAGGCCTGATGGTCCGGGAAGGAAACGGAGGTGGCCATTTTTTGTTATTTGTCAAAATCCTTCTTGGCAAGCTGAGAACAATTGTTGGTTAATGCATTTTTTAACAGTTGTTCTCTGACTAAAACAAAACTCCTCGGCGGATGCCGGTAAATGAGCGAATGACCACAGCAGTCTTGCTCAACGAAAAGATATTAGTCTTTTCTCTCTCACTCTTGTGCTCTCTGCCTCTTTTGGTTTTCCCGTCCTCCTCTAACGCTGACAAATTTTTATTACGTTACACCGGAACTACTAACGAATTGTGATTGAGTAACGCATTACGTCACAAATCCCCATTTGAGTTCTGGCCAAATCTGGTGAACTCGGCGCTTTCGAAAAGTAAATATCATCCTTTGTTTTCAGACCTTGATTAAAATAGAAGGAAATGAAAACAATAAATATTAATTAAACAATCTATTTAATTTGACTAGTTAATTCGCTACATGAAACATTACATAAATCCAAACGGATTAAAAGACTTAAAAAACTGTGTTGAGTGGATTTAGCGCAAAGAGCTTCTCCCAAATGGATCAGGGGTCTTGGAAATTTAATTTTTCAACTCAACTTTTAAAGTTATAAGTTCTATGGTTTTTTTTTATTTTTGTTACGTTGTTGTGGCGAGCTGATCGAAAAGTGGGTATTGCAGTAGCTATAGCCGCTTTTTAAAGAAAAACATATTGTTGGGCGCTTGTGGTTACAATACCAATGACCTAAACCATTGGCTGTTCTACATTTTGCCTTTGTGACTACATATCTACTGTGCACCATTTGGCCACTTCCCTAACAACAGATTATTATTTAATCTTTGTTAATCTTATATCTTTAAAATCAGCTAAACAGTAACACACAAGTGCAACATATTCACATAAAAAGTGCAATGTTAATGATCTAGCATCACGGTATACGGTGAGAGTACAAATTTTAAGGAGTGAGTCCCCAGAGATTCATGGAAACTTTTAATAAGAGATATTTTTATAAAGATAATTTTATCATTTCATTTAGAGCAAAATTCAACCTTTAACTTATTTTCTTGAATTCACTGTTCTGCTTACACAAAACTTGGTAAGTTTTTTCACATGCCATGGATATTTCCTAATGCAATGGATAAGAATTACACCTTAAAATTTGTGCTTCGGGAACCCCAAACCTATTAAAGTCGAAAAACAATATTAGTCTAATTTTATAGGTTGTGCTTTACTTGTTTCTGTTTGACAGAAAATTGAAACACGAGATAGGGGAGGGGATTTGCAACAAAAAATAATATCTGTCAAATTATTATGTCTTCGAATTATCGCCAATTTTGTTGAATTCTTCCAATCTTTTTATTTTTGCAGGTAATACGATTTTTTGCGATGGTGTTGTTTATCACTTATTAAACGAAACATAAATTATAAATAGGGACTAATTGAAAATGTTTTTTTGCTACTATCACGCAACAAATGTTCCAGATACATTTTGCTATGTGTGTGGTTTTTTTGTGTTCAAGAATTTTATACGTAAAATTACACCACTTTTTAAAAAACGCAATTTTAAAGTAAAAATTGACGATCAAGACAAACCTGAGGAACCACATACTGTTTGTAAGGTATGTAAGCTTTAAATAAAGATGGAGCATGATTTAAATACGTGCATAATTACCCAAATACAAAATTAAAGGAAGGAATTGTTGTAGGTATTTGAGATGCAATATGAGAATAAAATTACACTTTTTACACTTACATTTGGACTATTTTCTGGACTAAAATCTTGGTGCCGTCAGTGACGAGCAAGGTGAGATATTCCACCAAGATATAAAAGAAATGGAACGTAGATATCAAAGTCGATGGAACGTTGCAATGCTGGTCATTAAATACATACTAAACGAAGTTTTTCGGCCAATAGGCAGAGATCTTTCAAAAATAAATGGTTTTAACTATTATTTAGGATTTTGATATTTAATTTAGATTTTTTAATTCGGTTTTTGTTCTTGTACTAATGAAAATAATATTTAAATCAAGCGAGATTTTCACTTATTAATTCTCTTAATGATTTAAATTTAGGAGGCCTAAATTATACAGAATCAAATGTCGGAGCGAAATCAACTTTCAAAGTTTAAAAATTGATATGCGTAATCGAAATATGTAATTGAAAAAAGGTGTTCTAGACGACGTGAACGTAATTTTATACGACGTTGCAGAATGTGTGTTAGAGTGGGTTGGTAGAAATTTTGTATTTCTTTTTCTAATTCAACATTATTAACCAAGGCTGAAGTTATTTCAAAAAAATCCCGTTTACATTTTAATTAAATAATCGTTAAATTAATATTTACGATATTTTTTTTTAATATTTTTTGTTTAGCGATATGGATTATAAGCAAACAAACTTTTCCCTTAAAACCTCTCAAAAAAGTACAAACACATGTTCCATAGTTTTCGGGTTTTCTGAATCTTTGTATTTATTTTTATTTTTGGTGCTGGTTGTTTTTAATTGTGGCCGGCGTTATTTGTTCAAAAGAAAAAAAGTAGGGTGATATTATCCTCTTGTGTGAACATTTATGCCGAAATTTCAATTTTCTTCTCTTTTTTTTATCAAGTCCAAATTCAAATATTGTATTGTTATAGAACCTTGAAGACGAAATAATATATTTCGAAACCTCTGCAAATTGAAAAGTGGGTTTTTGTTGACTGCAAGATCCTACAACCCATAAAAATATCTTTCATACCGTATAAATTCTCTTAATAATTGTTAACTACAATAGTCAAGTTATTTTGCAGTTACGTTTACTCAAGCATGTAAGTCATAGTTAAAAAAATAAATATGGTAAAAAACTGCAGTCATATATGTTTCGCTTAACAAATTATAACCATTACACTTCAGCCACGATCTCCTTGTAACAACTATTACAATATTAGGCGCAACAATAATAAACAAACCCGTCGCAAAAAAACTGATTCCCGGCAAAAATATAAAAACTCAAAAAATTTCAACAAAATTCAAAATAACGCGAAAGCAGTAAAAAATCGGACATATGTTTATATAAAATTGTTTATTGCAATCACCTCCCGTATCTCTGGTTTCAATTTTATCAATGACTTTTAGGTTTGAATTTTTTTATGAAAGCAGATTTGGTAGTTTTTAAAGGCGAGTTTACACCAAACCGAAAAGAGACGACTTGAAGGAAAGAAATATTCGCAGTTCTGTTGAAAGAATTGATTCAGTATTGGAATATGCTTCTTGTGAATTGTGCTTCACAAATAAAGGTAGACTCTTACTGATTTCTTATTTCTATCGTACTCCCTCAGCAAACACTAATATTTTCAAGGTCTTAACTTATTTTTAGATAATTTTTTTCAGATAAAAAACTATAATATGTGGGGATTTTAATTTTAATTTTGACCTTCAAATGAATGATCCCAACGCTAGAGATTAGATAACTTACAAAGTAATTATGAAATGGAGTCACATATCCAAGAGTCTAGTGGAGACTGGGATAAGTCTAAAAATTTTGAGGGTAAGGCTAAAACCCGGGGAGCTGCTATGTGATATGCCACCTTTCAACTACATGCCAATCTGAGTGGAATTCAAGGCGCCCCCCTTTCTCCATTCATCTCTCAAAATTTGAGGATAGCCAACTATAAGGCAGACACTTTACTCCACATTTAATAATTTTCCGCTTTAATATTTCATAATTAACCTTTTTAAATGCTTGTGTGCCTTTCTGTGTCGTTCTTTTTACATATTGGCCTTACAGTACCTTCCTCAGAGCTACAGGAAAAAAACCCTGAAAGACTCAAGAATAAGAATGTTCACAATTGGCAAGCTATTTGCAGATGATATGACTCTTGTTGTGATAACTTCTGATATTCATCAGTTAAGTGGTTCCACATCTTATTGTGCAAGGAAGAAGCAGTCCTTCAGCGATGAGAATGACCTAGTTTTGAATATGACTAAAATAAGGTAGTAAAATTTTGGACATAATCTTAGACTTTAAACCATCTTAGAAAAGTCATATCAAATCAGTTACTAACAAAATGATTAGGTACTCTTTCATATTGTGGAAACTAAGAAATTCTGCAGTGAAGTTATGTTATCCTTTTATTATAATTACATTATCAATAACATTTAAAGAGTACATTTTCCTATTGAGGTCTTTTTAGGGAGCTGTAATGTCATAATATGTTTTGCATTGTGCTCCTTATGTAAGAAAAAATTGACAAAACTTTTTTACATCTGCTAAAGCTCACAGTTATATTGGTAGATCACCAAATAACTTGCAAGTTCCATAGCATGAGTTGAGTTATACCGTGAGAAGCCGCTACATAATACCTAAATACCTAAAATTTATAATTATTTGACCGACTCTATTAGACTTACCACCAATGAAATCCAATGTAACTTAATAAAATGTTATTCAATAAAGCAATATACTCCTTAAGAGTTTTTTCAGATTAACTGGGAGAATGGCTGAATGATTGCTAAGGCAAGATAAGTAACATGAGTGAAGGAAATTTTGTATTTTGTTTTATCATGTACTGTGTTTTAGTGAATTTTATTGAAAAAATAAATAAAAACCTTCAAAAAGTTGCGGTTTTGTGTTTTTTTTTTTCAACTGGCGTTGTTTTTTCAGTTTGATGTAAAACCGCCATAAGAATTACCTAATCAACAAAAAAAAATTAAACTGCATTTGAGGATTAAAAAACATGGGCAATAATACATATAGGCATATAGAATGCGATAAAGGTGTTGAAATTGTCAAATAATTTGCAGATTGAATTGAATTGATTGCACAATTTGAGCCAATAAAATCCAGGTTTCCTATTACTTGATTTTTGGTATTATTTTAAATACATACCAACATGCTTTTTGTACCAATATGTTCTTACATATTATTTGCTTATACCATTAGAGCCCAGTAGACACGACGCAATTTCTGCATGTTGGCGCAAACCGTTTATTTTTATAAACTTATAGGTTTAATCTCCACAAAATATAAACAAAGTCGAAATCACGCAATATTACTCTTAAAAGCGTAAATAAAACTACATGGGAGACTAAATATCACACAGGAAAATTCTAGCTGGAAAAAATGTTCAAGAAGTAACTGTAGACCCTCCTATAAATAGAAGGCTCATTCCTTGGTCGCGAATAATCTGATTATAAAAAACTGTGGGTTCTGCAAAATTTGATCAAGAAAATTAAAAAATATCAGAAAACAAGCCAATAAACTAGGCCAAAATATAAGAGAATTGCCAAAAATTTAGTTTTATAGAATACATAAATTAATATATGTAATTCGTAAATATTGGATTTTAATCCGGGCTTCAAATAAACATCCTCAATTCTCTCTTTTGTAATACTGGCATTATGGATTATCCGAGTCATTATATTCGTTGGAACATGTAACACAAACAAACACTAAAAAGTATCGCCTACTGTATCAAAATTTAAAAAACAAAATTCCGCCAGAATAATCAATCCCATTTCATTGCAAAAATTGCAATGTGTGTATGCATTTTTAACGGTAATTTTTATCCGGTAAAAATACATGCAGGAATACATGTGGAAATTGGATAGTGTATACAGGGCTTAATCTACAATAAATAATTTAAGGCGGGTGCTCTGTAAATTGAATGAGTTTTCAATTGCGGAATTTGGTGTAATAAAATCCGAATACTGGAAATTGCAGAATAAATAGAGAATTTTTCAAAGAAACTGGCACAGGCTATTCTAATACTCTACATCTAGATTCTTCCTGAGTTGGTTGTAAATTAATAAAACTTGCCGACGTTTCGCCAATCATCAAGTTTGCATTCTACTCTGTACCTGCTTATATGACATGAACATTGTTTCGGATTACTGATTCCCATATAGGTGAAAGGTAAATATCCGACAGTCGCGGTTAAGATTGGTTGGTTGATTAAATATTTCTATGAAATCTCGAATTTTTTATTTGACTTAAGAATTAATTACATGGAAGAATTTTAGTTTGGACTAATAGATATGATGTACCCCACGATTATGTTCGGCAACTGTTGAAGAGTTTATTTGTCGTAGTCTTTCGGCTGTTTCATGTTCTTTAGCCTAGTTGATATTTTTCGTCCTGTTTCTCCAATATAAAGATGGAATTCTGTACACTTCTGGTGTTTCATGCGAAATTGATGCATAAGTGTCAAATCCGGTATTAACGTTATATTTGATATGTGGTCGGTTATGTTCTGAATGAAAGGAAAGACCACAGTGGCAAGTGTGGAGTTGTCTTCAGAGTAATTTTCTTTGGGAGGTTGGGGTGAAGTGTATTAGTATCTCTAGTATACCAATTACTAGAGGGAGCAATGTTTGTTTACAGTGTCGTAAAACTATCTCAACCCGAATCACTGAAGCTAGAATGAAAACAACCAACATCTGTTCTTCTCTCAAATAATTCACAAATAAAGCATTCACCATAACCTCCCAAAGAAAATGAGTCCGAAGGTAATCTCACAGATGCCACTGTGGTCCTTCCTTACATTGAAAACATCACTGACCACATCCCAAAGATAATATAATGTTAAGACCAGATTTACCACTTGTCCAAAAATCTCTCAACATCTTCAATCCATCAAAGACAAAATTCCGTGTGAGAAAAGAATACCTTGGAGAAACAGGATGAAAAAATCAACTAGATTAAAAGAACTTGAAAAAGATTCAAGACTACGATAAATAAACTAATCAGCAGTTGCCGAATGCAATCATGAAACCGCACATAAAATCTTATTGACACTAAAATTTCTGAATTCAATTGCTCTGTGAAAGAAAAATCATAGATCCATAAAAATCTGTAAAGAACCAGGCATCTGAGCCAATTTTCATACCCCTCCTTTAGCTCTACCCGCCTTAAACAGGTACACACTAGAATGTGAGCCAATTTCAGTTAAGCTTCGAGGAAGCCAACAGGATGACAGGCGAAACGTCAGCAAGTTCGAGTTATCCGACGCAGGAGCAATCCAGAAGATTTGTAAATAGTAACAAATGGAGATGTTTTGTAAAGAAATTTACAAAGACATTATCACAGATTACCGTAATCTGCGTCGTTGCCATTTCGAGAGGAATTCGGATCAGTTCACTTTCTGCGCTCTGCCAAACGCCTGCACGATCTCGATATTCCTCCTGTAGTGCTTCGCAATTGTCGACAACGGCTTGGGGTACAAATCAAACACGCCGATATTGACCAAAAACTCGCCGTATTTCGTCCTAAACACGTGTTTCACGCTCCCATGACTAAAAATGAACCGCATTACAGATAAACGCTTGCGCTTTTGCTCTCTTTGTACCTGGAATATCTCGCAAGTTTCTTAAACGTGATCATCAAAGAGCAATCTTTCGCAATCGCCGATAGCAAATAGGGAACGAAAACAAAGTCGCCGTGTTTGTTATGTTCGATAAGGCATTTCACGCAGCCCCCTTTCCGTTTCCGTTCCTCCGACAATTTCTCAACGAAACTCCACTCGTCCAGATTGCTCAATTTCGAGTATGTTTCGTACGTACTCCGGTTACCTTCCACATCTAGCAATTGTACGGATAAAATTTTATCTAAGACACAGCCTTTGGGTAGTGGCGACGTTACATCGCGGTTAACACGTCCGACACAAATGGGGCAACCGTTTTCGACATTCTCGGAAAAATCGGCCGTCAAGCAGGCGTACAAAAAGACGCAAAACTCGTCGAGCAACCTGCAACGCAACCGTTTTTACAAAAGTCACCAGTGAGAGGATATCGAGGGAATTACGTGTCGAAACTTGTTAAGTTGTTTTCAAATATCTCCCGAAGAACGTTGCGACTATCCATATTATTTCCGTAAACCAAGAACCCGTTTTTGAATATGCGAAAATTGTTTTGGGGAGCTTCGAAGAGATGTTTTAGGGCCTTTACCATTCGACTCTGATCTCTACAATGGAAGACAGGACATGAAATTTCTGATTTAAAAGCATCGTTGCTTGAGTACAGACCCTGCTTAACGCCATTTTAATTTAACGCTATTTCATTTGAATTACGGGATTCCCATAAATTGGAAGCGGTATTAGATTTGCCGGTATCCGACTCAGTTTTTTATTATTTCAAACATTTGTCGAAGTTATTCTAAGCAGAAATTTATATAATGTGACTATTGATATTGGAATTTCAAATTAAGATCGCAATGAGAAATTATTTTGAAACCAGATGTAAAGGAACCGATAATGACCGATATTTGTTAACTCCTTGACGATATATCGTTTAGCTAACTAGCTGATGCTTTGGAAGAATTTTATAAGTTCTACACTGTATTTCTGTGAATGCAATATGCTATCTTTAGTTTTATAAATTTTTCAGAATGTTTTCTAAGGGTAGCGAATCCTTACACGTAATTATTTCTCTCAGCTGAATACTGTGGATACATGTCGACTAAAGGTCATCAAAACTGGACCCCTGAATGTCATGCTTTAAAGCTGTTTTACTTGAATTGTGAGATTGCCAGAAATTGCACGCAGCGTTATGGATTTAACTAAACACGCTGGACCCGATACTGCTTATTCAGAACCACGCAAGCATATGTGTCAGGGGCAAGAGCAAGAGAGACAACAGGCGAGTAGGCTTTGCGTCCACAGTCTACCGATGGTAGATAATTGGTTCCAGTCGTTATTCCCGCCCAGTTTTATTAGTTCGACCTAACAAGCAAGAGATGGCGCTATTGTAGTAATAAGGGCATACGTTTTGCCTGTGCTTTGACCGACTAATGATCAATGTCAATTTCCATTTGTCCTTCGGTGAAAATCATGCCGACAACTTTTTAGTTCGATGTCTAGGCTAGCGATTTTGTACGTTCTTTTCGAGTTTCTTTGACTCTTTTTTCGCGTTTTTCGAATTGTCTTGAATTTCGAATTTGTGGCGAATCGTAGTGTTACGAATAGAGACGAAGATAGTCCTCGAAAGAGGTGAGACCTTGCTGTGAAACAGGGTGTACAGACTATATTTGCAAATCTACCAAATTGGCAGAATATGTCTAAGGATGAAATCTACCATAAATTTATAGTTTGCCAAGCACATTTTTCTAAAGATTGCATTGATACAGACAAAAGAGATAGCAGAGAAATTAAATTCAATGCTGTTTCCTCCATTAATGTTGCAGATGAATTGAGCTTCATATTTATTTATCATTTTATTCAACAAAGAGTCAGTTATAAATTTAAAAATATGTTTGTCTGTATCATTGTGTTTATGATAAAAATGTGTGAAAATAATTTTTAAACTTTACAGAGGCTATTTATTATTTTTATTCAAAATACAAAATTATAATTTTTTGTGCTTATTATTAAAGTAGTTTTATTTATTTCTGTGTAATGTTTGAATAGATGAAGTGATTCTAAGTGTGTCCCTAACGCGTGTATCTTGGTTTTGTGATTTTATACGAATTATATACTGTGTAACATAAATTTTTAAAATTAATACACTGCAAAGACAGTAAAAATGGTAGTAAACTGCGTGGCGATTGGGTTCAATAACATATTTTGTAAGAACCCAAATATGCAGTTTCATACATAAGTGTTTCAAGGTTTATGCTTAAATAAGAGTTATTCATCATCTCATTTTCACGTTCTTACATTTCCTTTTAAACGACCAGAAATTCCTGAACTGCGGATTAGGCCAAAGAGAATTGGAAGCCAGCTTGGACCAGCAAACTCTGTAATAAACATTTATAGAATTTGATTATTAAGTTCGACTAGGATCATTAGTTAAATTGCCTACTACAGTCTGGTTTTTAATTTTGAGAGAGTGTGCTTCAAAATTTACTGCTAAAGTTTGCAACGCTGTTCTTACCTTTGCTCGGGCTTAAAAAAGTAGGATTATAGAATACTTAAAGTGAACTGCATACTACTTAGTAATAAAATATGTAATAATTCATTTCCATATTTAATGACAATTAATTCCGTCTTATACATATTTTTTTTCACCTTTTTAAGCTTAACCCATTTTCTACTATACTAAAATTAAATTAAATGTTCCAGTGTGTTAATTTAGAAAATTACTTTATTTCAATATAATTTTTGCGTCCAAAAAAGTTTGCTTGATATGCAGAGCTGAAAGTTCAACTCACTACTTTGTACCTAAATAGGTGAATATAAAGAGTGAGCTTTCATTTGTCTCCCCTAGAAAGTCGGAAAAAGGTTTATATGGAAATGAAATAGGAAATTCATCGAAATTGTTGTCCATTCATACCCAATATTTAATAATAAATCCAATTCATACTTTTGCAACAGAAGAATATATGATTTATTAAAAAGGAAGAAATATTTTTATAAGATCCTCTGTATTCTAGATTCAAAGCTCACTAAATACTTCAGAGCGGCTGCTTGTAAAGCATTTATTTGAAGGCAAACGCAAAATATTGCAAACTAATATCTCCTGCATTAAAAACTTCATCTCCTCCTATAATACGGAATGTTTATTAATCATCCGAACATGTTTTAAATGTTTTAAACATTTGTTAACCTTATTGTAAGTATAAATTTATATAATATTGATTCATATAGTGGCAATTTTTTTTTATTATTGGTTAATATCATGGGTGATAATAATGCTTTGAATATGACAACTTCAACAATAAGGACTATTCTTAAGGATATAAAAAAAATATTGTCATCGGCAACTGCAACTAGAATTACTCGTTCTAGAAATAATACAATACAAGGGTCAATGGACTGACTACGAAATTCCGTATAGCCTGTTATAGGTCTGTTTTTCTTCTATCTCATTTAATTGAACCTTCCAAAGAAAATTCGTAAGATAAATGAGGGAGACGTAAAATGTGTTTACATGGAAAAAAACAATTAACCTTTAATTTTACGGCAATTTAAAAATTTTTGATTTATAGTTGTGAGACTTTGACAATTTAAAGAGACAATATGATTGATAATCGATTTTCTGTTTTTTTTTGCGTCCCCAAGCAAAAACAATGGTTTTACATTTGAAAAACTATTTCGAAAATGAAAAAGAAAGTGGAAAATCGTAGGTGTTCTCGCACGGATAGTGAACCAGCGTGTTCAATTTCTAAAAATTTTTAATATTTTCCAATGAAAGTGAAATTTGATTCATATAATTATTGACCGTTGGCATGATAGGGCTGGATTTGACTATAATGAAAAAAGCAAGAATTTCTAATTAAATGCAGGTGGGAGCAAGACACATAGAATGTTCATTGCAAGTCGAGAATGATTTACCAGATTTATAAATATCGAAATAATCAAACCAATCAAACAATAATTGAATGTGGAAACTATCCTTCAGAAATGGTTATAATGTTAACAAAATAACCTTGTTTAAACACTAAGTATGTATTTATAAGATGATCATGAAACTAGTTAGGCAATCTAGTTAAATTTAGAAAAGTTAATTTTTGTTTTGACTGGCCAAGTGCTAAATAGTTATTCTTCAAGCCATCCAATGAATTTGTCTAACTTAATAACATGCATTACAGTCGAAGTAGTTTTCGTAGACCCTAACACAACTGCCTTAATCGTACCAATGTGTCAAGACATTGTATACCCATTTTTAAGACTTACATTTCTTGAAATGCGGTAACAGAGGTATGGAAGAACATTTGAATGGATCTAAGCAAGAAAGGTGTAGAGTTAACAAAACAAACGGGTTTAGATTAGATAAATGTGCAAAGATATTGAACAAATATTGTAAGAAATAGCTGCAAATCTTTCCATTGATGAGCTCAAGAAATTACAAACTGAGAAGAACATCTTGATAAAAAGGTAGAAAATTGGAAATATAGAAGAGAGTGAATGATCTGGAATGTCAACAATTACAATTATATTTATTTTTATAAGTATATTTGTTCTTAATAAAAAACACAATTAATGAATTAAATGGTGAAATATCTGACCAATTTTCTACCCATTATTTACATGATGGGATAACCTTTAATGCTGCTTCATATTACCCTGTAAAAAGGTTTTAAGTGGGGTCTTGCTGTACTTTGTTAAAACTAATGTGCAATATTTCAGTTTCCCTTCCAAATCTTCAGTCATAACCAATTTTTTTTTTAAATTTAAAAAATAATTTAAATTAAAAAACTCACCCAGAAAATAGATCTTCAGGACAATAACCAGTTACCTGTTGAATTTGCCTTTTCTCAAGCTACAACACTGATTAATTTAGACAAACAAAAAACAATTAAGGTATGAATACACCTTTAAGTACTGCTGCATGCAAAAAAGGCACTTGGGATGCTCCCGTTCTTCTCGCGGCCTCCACCCCTGCTTGGGTTTTATTTCGACAGAAAAGGTTTCCGATTCAAATTCTGCATGTAAGTTGTGAAATTTTTCCATAGGCAAAACTGCAAAATCATCAAAAATTGCCGCCCGGCCATATTGAAGGGTTTTGTGATGGCGATATTCTATAAGAATGCAGAAATTGCATATCGCAAATAACTTAGGTCGAGAAACTCACCTGGTCTCACTTTTCTTAGTTCGTAATTTAATATTTTTATTTGTTTGGGTGTCAAAACTACTTGATTTGCCGGCGACGTATAAAACTGACCAAAAAGTGGTCTCATAATGTTAGAATAGAAATTAACATCCCTTAACTCGTCCTTAAAACCTATCCCGCAGTACCAAAACAGAAAATCGCTAATCAACACAAAAATCCAGCCAATGATCGATTTGGGCTTGTCAGATTTACGGATCCGCAATATCTTTCGAGTTTTCGGCAAACAGAGCACCACGTTACAGTTTCCTTCGCCCCGATATCTCCACTCGTCGGGTATTTCGAACTTTTCGATAACCGGTCCATGGCTGAGGATCATTTTAGCGTCTCGCTGTAACGGAAGTAAAGGTAGCTCGATACAGGCAAATACAACATAATACTAACAACGATCAAGCCCAATTAGTAACACTGCAGCCACACGAGAGAAACGCGATCATTGTCAAGCAAATAACATTGTAAATTTCTATTTTTCTTGTTTTACCGAAATTGGTAAACCGGTCAACGACCCTGAGAAATGCTCCCGAGGTAGTTCAAATTTTGGTACGTCAACGGAACAATCTTGGAACGGCGAAGAAAACAAATTGGTTGGTTCCAAAATTTTACCTTTTGGAAAGGCTCGATTGTTAAATAGCTGCGGTTGCCAAGCGTTGCCAAAGCTCGCTCATTTTATTTATCTTAGCTCTCTTCCACTTCGTTGTTAAATCTCACTCCTTTCAGATTAAACTCAAATTTAAAAGCTATTTTAAAATGACGTCGGGTGGCATCATTTACATCTCTGTGGTAATCTTTAAAATCTTCAACTTTATAAAAAAAATGCGCCCTCATGCTTGTAGAATTCAGAATTCGCTTGATACTGTTTCTCGTGCGGGGAAAAAAAAGTCGGGAACGAATTTTTTTTATTTCAGTTCCGCTGATAGTAAGGCCATCATATTTACACTCAAATTATACGGGGTGGCCCAAAAAGAGTGATCGACTCGCATTCCAATTCGAAATCTTAAAAAAATGTATGTGCTTTTAAAGCTAAGCTTTGTTCGGAAGTGTGTTTTTCATCTCTAACTTCTAAAACACTGAGTGGATTTTAACAAATTTTAAAAAGCACGTTATATATGCGATGTCTACTTCTTACTGGTGCCGTGATACAATAACAAAAAAAAATCAAAATTCTCTAAAAAATTTCATTCAACAATATGACTTTTTTCTCATAAGAATGTAGTGAAATGATAGGTCAATCAGTTAATGAAAATTGTAGCTGTATATCTTATTTTTAGCCTAAAATATGGATGAAAATTTGTTATCATAAAATTTATATCATCAAAAAATTAAAAACTAGAAGTAATGCAAACCATAGTCGCTGCATTTGAGTTTTTTTTGCAAATTTACAATAGGTATACTAAATACACAAAATAAGAAAAAAGGTGTACACCTGCCTATGAAACAAGTCTTCGATTTGTTCATGGCAAACTTCACAGTAATGTGGAATTTTTGCTATCAGTCTTTGTAACAGCAATATTTAAACACACCTTTTCACTTTTCTCACAAAAAATAATGAAAAGCAGTTTATTTGTTGTAACCTTATCTCATCAAAAAGAAACAATTCTTACAAAGCATAACGCTATTTTTAAGAAAGAAATATTTTTTATTTTATTGGAATGTTTAACGAAACATAAGCATTTTCTTAACGTTAAGTTTCTAATGTACCTATACTTTTGAATGCATAAAATTTTACTCTTTGGAGTGGGTCGGCAACAAAACCCAAGCGATGTCCAGCACTGGCAAGATTGTCTCAGCCCGTCAAGACATTTGCATCGGGTTAAAATGAAAACAATACTACCTCCCTTGAGAATATTGTTGTGAAAAAAATTTAAAATTATTGTCTTAGATGTTACTTTTTAAAAGTTAGGAAGCTGTAACCGAAAATATCTCATATACAGAGTGTTAAAAAAGTACGCTGCCAAACTTTAAGAAACGATTCCTTGCTTGATTTTAAGAAAAAAAAATTCATATAAACATAGGTCCAAAAATGCATATTTTTCAAGATACAGGGTGTTAAAATTTTCTTAAAAAATTGTTTTTCCTTTTATAACTTTTACATCACTTTCGATATTTTTATCAAATTTGGTGAACATCTTTAAATTATTGAGAGGCGGTTTTTGACACAAAAGCTTTATTTTTGTTTTTACCAGTGGCGTCCGTGTGGGGTTTGAACTGAATATATTTTTTAAATGGCACGTCACTGCTTTTTCTGAACGCAGTGCATGAACTTGCTTTCGTTCGACGCACGGTTTTCGCTTAAAAAAATAAAAACCATTTAAATGCACCTACTATAACCCAAATGCAATTTTGCAATATTAATTTTTATGTCAAGTCTGCCCTATTTGAAGTTGGCACGTATATGCTATGACTAGTGCCCATAAAAAGAAACAAGTATAATTTGTAATAATCTAGTAATTCTTTTTTCACGGCCATATCTTTTTTATCTCCCGTACTTGTTTTCCGACGACAATTAGCATTCACGCGGTCCTTTTTAGATTTTTTTTTTTGGTAAAACTTGCTACTAGATCATTATTTTTAAATATAATTTTTTCTAATTAAACTAACAATTTAATAGGAAAATTTAATAAAGTGACAAAGTGAGCTTTGCTAAGTGACAGTAATTCATTTGTCATTCATAAAATTGCACTTGGTTTGTTTGCTGGAGGTTTTTAAAAGTTTATTTAACAAATTATTACTGGTTTTTGAAAGTTTATTTAAAAAAATATTTGTTTTGGTAAAAATTGTTCGATTCACAAACCGTGAAATGGCAGATATACACTTCGTGTATGGAATGACTCATGCTAATGCTCGTGCGGCAAGACGGATGTATCAAGAAAGATATCCTAACCGTCCGCTACCTAACAGACAAATTTTTGGTAATATTCACTTCAGACTTGGTGAAACGGGTGGTTTTAAGAGGTGTATAGAACCTCTATACACCTTCGTGTGTGGACTGTATCTTGCTCTCGTACCGTCAAACGCACTTTCCCTTGCGGTGGTCAGTTCGGTACTGGCGCGCTGGGCGGCATCCCTTCGGCCGCACAAACGGTATGGCACGCACTTGGACCGTGATTGATGCATGATAGTCACGTGACTCTGGCGTGTTCACACATAGCGGGGTTTCACATATAGCAACGAAAACTAATAGGTTCTTAACATGCCCCCCGCCTTGAAAGAATGTAAGTTGTTTCAAAATGAGAAAGTTCAAACTAAACACTTATTACAATGGCCAAATGAAACTTAAACATGATGACAAAGTGACAGGTAGAAAAATGAAAAATGTAATTTAAAGGTCAGTAAATGGAAGCGGACACAACTTTAGGACAGCGCGTTTTATCACTCCCGATGTGGTCTTGACTGAAACGACGCGCACAACATTGTCACTACCTGGATGAAGTTCAACTATACGCCCTAGCCGCCATTTGAACGGGGGTAAATTGTCATCGCGAACTAAAACCATTGTACCAACTACAAGATTATGCTGATTCTTTTTCCATTTAACTCTTTCTTGTAATTGACCAATATATTCCTTCGTCCATCTTTTCCAAAAGTGTTGTTTAAGGACTTCCAATTGTTCAAAGTGAGAAAGACGATTCAAAGGAATATCCTGTACATTTGGATAGAAAATCGATTGAAGTGAGCGACCAATTAATAGATGAGCTGGAGTTAACACCCCTAGGTCGTTTGGGTCAGAAGAGAGTGGCGTTAGAGGTCGAGAATTCATTACGGCCTCTATCTGCGTAAGAACTGTGTAAAAACTTTCAAATGTTAAAAGGACATTAGATAGTATTCTTTTGATGTGATGCTTCGCTGATTTCACTCCTGCCTCCCAGAGACCGCCGTGGTGAGGCGAGTAGGCTGCTATAAAATGCCACTGTATATTTAAGTCCAATCCGCCCTGATTTTTTACAGAATCTGAGTTGTTTCTTAAAAAATCGCCCAATTCTTTCAACTGATTACTAGCCCCCTTAAAGTTGGTACCATTGTCAGTATATACGTTGGTTGGTCTACGCCTGCGAGCTATGAACCGTTGAAATGTCTCTAGAAAGGCTTGTGTTGACAATTCAGTGACAAGTTCGAGATGAACTGCCTTGCTAGTCAAACAAATAAAAAGTGCGAGATAGCATTTTTGTATTTTACATCCGCGTCCCTTGCGATCTTTTATTTGGAAATGGCCGGCGTAATCAATGCCTGTGTCTGAAAAAGGTGGCCTTGGTGAAATTCGCGCCTCTGGAAGATTACCCATTATTGGAGTCGGAATAGTGGGATTAAATCGAAAGCACACTATGCATTCTCTTACAATGCGCTTGGCAAGATTTCTACCTGCGACTGGCCAGAAAGTTTCCCTGATATGGGAGAGAAGTAATTGTGGGCCGCAATGCAGAAGGACTTTGTGTTCGTACCTAAATAACAAGTAGGTAAAATGATGTTTTGAACATAAAAGTGCTGGGTGCCTTTTATGAAATGAGTATAATGAATGTTTAAGTCTACCTCCTACACGAATTAGACCATCGTCAAGAAAAGGGGTCAAGCTAAGAAGTCTGCTTTTTGAGGAAACCTGATTTGACTTTGAAAGTTCATGTATTTCCCTTGAAAGGCTTTCGCGTTGAGACAACTTGGTTAAAACTTCCTTTGCATGACGGAGTTCGAAGATTGTTAAAAGTTTGTGATGTCCCTTGGGAGACTTTATTTTGCATGATTTTAAGATTGATGAAATGTCCTGACACAAACGTACTGCTTCTTCGAAACTGTCAGCTCCAGATATCAGATCATCGACGTAGAAATCCTTACTGATGACTCGAGATGCATGAGGATTCAATGATTCGTATTCGATAGCTAACTGTTTTAAGCAGCGTGTGGCTAGAAAAGGAGCACTTGCCGTGCCATAAGTCACAGTATTAAGAGAGAAAGTTTGAAGTTCATCCATGGGATCTGCTCTCCATAGAACAAGCTGCAAAGGATGATACTCCTCTTGGACTAATATTTGTCGGTACATTTTACAGATGTCTGCAGAAATGACATACTGGTGTTGCCGAAATCTTAGCATGATGGAAACCAGATTATCTTGTACCACAGGCCCAACCATCTGGATAGAATTGTAGGATACACCTGATGAAGAGGGAGCTGAGCTGTTAAAGACTACTCTAAGTTTCGTAGTAGAGCTATCCTCCTTTAGAACGCCATGGTGTGGTGAATAGTATCTAGGTTTGGAATTGGATGAAGCAAAAATTGGCATGTGGCCTAGATCGTGGTATTCGGTCATAAAATCTGTGTACATGGCCTTTAATTTGGGATTTTTCGAAAGTTTGCGTTCCAGCTGCAAGAATTGGTTTGTTGCCTGTAACTTGGAATCCCCTAAAACTTCTGATGATTTCTTAAGTGGAATGGCTACAGTGAATCTACCATTTGAACCGCGCTTAAAATTATCAGAGAAGTGTTTTTCGGCTTGAAATTCCTCATCCGACAGGATCGGCTCACTTGACAACTCTTCGATTTCCCAAAACTTGGCTAACTGT